CGTTCTCACCCAGAGTTAAAGCTTGGCCTAGGCTGGTCAACATATTGATTCTGTTGTTGGCCTTACCGCCTTCTAGCCAGTGCCATATTCTTTATACAAGTTTAAACTTTCAAAAGGCATACGACATGTCATTCTTTATTTTGGGGTTCCAAAATGTAAATAAGTCTAACTTTTACAAATCGATTGACAATTTTTTTAAAATTTCATTTAACTCGATCTTTCATTACTGTATTGCCATTTTCTGTGCACAACATGTATTCACTAGATCCAGATTTTGATGCCGAATTGTGGATCCTGAGACTTCAAAACTTCCCAATGTACACGTAAAGTACATGTACCTACTCGGAGCCTTTAGTTTTTTTTTAATATTCATTGTATGTATAATTATTCTTATGAATATAATTATTGTATAATTATTGTTGCCTTATGTTTTAGAATTGTACCGGTATGTGGTGTATTGGCTATTCACTCTGCTTAATTTTAAAATTGTGTTTTGAAACTTTGCTAATGGGTAGATATGTGTATTAGTATTCAGTTGTCATGGGCGGAGGGGGATGGGTTCGCGTAAACCCTGTAATGTTTGTTGATCCAGTAATGAAACCCATCTTTCTTTGTTTTTATTGTTAAAATCGGTTATATAATGGGTCGCAGAAAAGTATGGGTCATTCCACACTAAAGGGGTACAAAAGTGTGACATGGGGGAAATGAAGCAGGATAATAATATCAAGTTGTTAGTCCTCTTTTCCACTTGTACATTCCCACCCCATTGTTGAGGATTGTGCTCACCAAGAATTTAAGACTTTCCAGGCAAATTTTACAAGATTTACATGCTCAGATTGTTACATATACATGTACATGTACATACATACGTAACATGGACAGAAAGTTTGTTAATATTGATAGAAAAGTTACAATAAATGTGTTTACCTAAATAGGGTGCCTATTGTTACAGCATTGTTACCTGTAAAAACCAAGAAAATCTAGTGTTTGTTTAATATGTCACAGGGTACCGTACTACATGTACATGTACCGGTAGGGTCTATGTTCAGAATGTTACGCATGTTACATGGACAGAAAGTTGTCACAAGAAATAAATATAAATACTTAAGACAAGAAAATTGTGTTTATTTGGCTGTTAGCAATCCTAACTGGGTTATGCATGTACGGTATGATGTAATACATTTGGGTAAATTCATGCACATGATAAAACAGAAAATGTCCTCAATTTATAGCGAAACTTTTTTCATGTTATGTAAATGATTTGCAATGAATCCTGTAATTTCTGAAGAACATGATACAGTCCTCTTTATCTTTTGTGTGCATGATCATTAAGGACTCACAAATGAACAGGGAAATTAAGACTCCACAAAAAAATGCTATCTAGCTTTGTTTTACCTTCAACATCCCACTCTCAATCTCCAAATTTGCAGTCAGACTTACCCCACTGGCATCACAGATTTTTTAATGCAATCCTTGAAAATGCACCTTTGTGTCCCATTTAACCTTATTTTCAATTTTCGTTTTGCCATTTTCAAGGGTATTTTGGTGCCTTTTGGTTTTTATGCTTATGCAAATTTCCATATATTCATGAGCAAAAGTGTGTTGTCATTTCAGGCAAAAAACCTCAATGTTATAGATATTTCAGCACAAACAAATTGCCAAACGTTTGGATATTTTCTTGTCCGAAAAGTTCTTTTCTGTGGTGATTCGTCATTGTGTCAGTACATGGCAGTAAGCCAGTGAGCAAACTTTTCTCACAGAATTTTCAATTGACAAATTTTTGGGTTCACAATTTGAACAGAAATTTCTTAAACTGAACAGTGTCTTCCTGAAATGACATCACAGCTACAGCGCCCCCAGTTGCCCAGAAAAGCATGGACAGTGTTAAATGTTTAAAGAAGTGCACTTTTCAATAAAATTAACCAAAAGGGATGTCAAAAGATTTTCATACAGTTAAGAGGAGTAGAAAGTTGCACAAAATGTATTCCTAAGAGAAATTCATTTCACGGACGTGAAGTCAACTAACTCATCAAATTTAAGTCATATCACAATGTTCAGTTACAAGCCGAACTAAGAAAAAGAAACGCCTTTGACAACAACTGAACATAGTAATTTCCACCAGGGTGGCACACCAGAACAACAAATATACACATTTAATTCCACAGTTGGAAATATTTTGAAAGTTCAATACAAATTTACAGAATAAAACTTAAAAACAGCCATACATTTATTTTGAGACAAATTGGACACAATATGTTCCAAGACATGATTGCACATATTGTTTCTACAACACCAAAGACTCGTTAAAAAATCTGAAAATTCTATATAAAACAAGAACGGTTTCTGTTTAATGTTTCCCACCCATGGAACTATTTTTACCCAGATTATGCTTTGAAGAAAATTTCTACACGGAAGTTAAAACTTCCATCCAGTATTTCTACGCCTTGAGCTATTAAACATTTGGTGAAAATAGCTTTGCCAACCTGCCGTTGTTGAACTCTCTGACCTTTTACATTTTGACAGGAGGAAGTTAATCAAAGATAGAAATCATGCAGGTGGCAGTGGTTGTGGGGAGATGAAAATAGTTTTTGTTGGGGATCAGTAATTTACATAGTACCATGAACACTATCAATTCTAGAAGAAACCAAAATTCGATGATGTTGGATCCCAGAGAAATTTCATTGTTTTAAGCGTGAGACACCATTAGAAAAAAAACCCAAGAAAACAGACTTTCCCTTTTGAACTTAAATGCATTAGAAGCAATCAGGTTGCAATGTGTGCACAAGAGCTACTCGGGTAATAACAGTGTGAGGAGCCGGCCTTCGCTGCGCAGCAATGAGAATCTTCCTGTTTAAACAGGCTGTGTTTTTTTGTCGCCCAAATATCCGCGTTTTCGTTTATTTTGAGCCTGTTTTGGGGCTTTTTGCCTGAATTCACATCTTTTTTTCCTGTTTTTGCACAAGTTTCCTGGGTTTTTTTTTCATTGAAATTCATTCTCATGCTTGACTAGCCAGGCCCAGGCTGCACTGGACGACGTCTTCATTGCATTACGACCACTGACGTCCTGGGTATGAACTTCTGCTGCTGTAGCGAAACAAAATACAACAAAAATGTTTTCATATTTTTACCTGAAGGAGGAAGCTGAAATTTCATTTACATTTTCCTAATTGTATCCAGAATTGCAAAGATGCTCAGTTTAGAAAAAGTAAATGTGTCTGTGGGCGAAGTGTTTACAGAAAATAAATCGCAGATCAATCCTCGCTTTCGTTGTGAACATCCTCAGCACTGCAGTACGAACATGTCGTTTAAAAACTTCCTTACGCTCGCGCTCCCACACAAAGCAACTATGTTGCGTACACGCGCGTGAGTCTTCACACGATGGTGGTTGAGTGCTTGCTGCTGCTGTTACCAGCTACCACAGGACTGTTGTAAATTTGGCCAATCATTTGGCTTACGTGATGCCTGATCAATGCTGATTCAGGGGCCATTTATTCGCAAAGCCGGTCTTTATATCACATATTAATACGACCTCACGTGATCGAGTCTCAACCAATCAGAAGCTATCAACTCTCCAAGGTGTTTATTAATATGCATTAGAAATTCACATGATGTCCATAAAAAGTTTGTTAAATACCGTGGAGACTTTAGTTACCGGTACAGCCTTAATAATTTCTGTGTCAGACATTTGAACCAGAAAAGTGTGTAAGATATTTTAACCACCAACCATGCAGTGCCAACTACATACCTGTACCATGTACAAGGGTATGTGTCAGACAGTCACAATGGTGATCTATGGTCCGAAATGGTGTTCAAGTTCAACATTTTTCAAGGGGTGATGATTGAGTGGGGGGGGGGGGGGATGAGGTGTTGCTGCCCATGCATAAAAAGACCAAATGCCTGAAGCAAACCAAAAAAAAGAACTCAATTTTGAGTGATGATGTTATTCGTGGAATTGAGGAAATAGGGGATTTGTTTTTCATTATGTAAATTATTAACATTGATCAACAGGAAGCAGGGGGTGGGTAGCAGTTGGAAGCAGGGGGTGGGTAGCAGTTGGCAAGTTGTACAATACCTCAAACAATAAACTTAGCTTCTGGCCTTTGAAGATAGAACTTTGTGTTTCCTGTTTTCTTTCTTTTGGGGGGAAGAGGAGAGAAGGTCAGGCCCGTAGGCAGGGGGAAGGGGTCGGGGGTTGGGACGACACTTCCCCCCCCCCCCCCCCCAGCTACATTTTTCCTCGCGATTGACTGAGTATTACTTGACTGAGTATTATTCAGTAGTATTACTGTTTATTAGACATGAAAAGGTCCACCTCATGGTAAAAAATGACCCTCCCATTCCACCAGGCTGGCTTCGGCCGTGAAGGTGTGAGTTATTTGGGCTGTAGTGTCTTTGTATTTGGAAGAAAAAGTTAAGGTTAAGCCTAACCCTGCCAAAAAAACCAACAACAACCAAGTGTGGGAACATTCTAGATTTTAGTGGCCCCAGCAGGCACAAAGGGCCTGGATGCTGTGAGATTGAGCAGGTTTCTGACTTTGTTGTCTTTTGTCTTCGATGGATAATACAAAGTTACAGAAAAGTTTGCTTAGGATTGATCAAATAAAATGAAGTCAGATTTTGTTAAGGGAACATAATTTTGTTTCACAAAATGATTAATATTATAAGGTGCATAAACTGTAAAGTGCCTTTCCCCTGAATGAAAAGTGCTCTTGGGTGTTATATTTGTTATATTAGAATTGGTAATGATAACATTTAATTGTACAAGGTGTGACACAACAGGTAGTTTCTTGAGAATCTGGACAAAGTTTTGGAACAAGCCCAGGTCTTGAAGTCTTAAAAACTGTTCAACAGTTCACCAGGATGTTGGAATCAGCAAGGAGTTGTTCCAGAGCAGTAGATGAAAATGCAGCGTCTCCAGCTAGCGTGTTGTAGAGTTTCTAATGGGGAGTCCTTTTGTTTAGATCACCCTTGTGGTTAAAATCCATGGCATGACCTCTTTTTTGCCTGTATTTCTCATGTTCTATCATCTTCTGTTTTTCTTACTGCAGTCTCCAGTACCCAGTGTTGTACAGTCAGCAGCCTTTGCCTTGTCCAACCTTGCCAGAGGCAAAGATGCTAACCTCAAGTAAGTTTACCTCCAAGTTAGCTTAGGCCGTTAACCAAAATTTGCTGAAAAAAGCTTTTCTGTTTTGAGTCTGATAAAAGAAATGTTCTTTCATAATTGATGAATATACACCAGGGTGTTAAAAAGTTTCAACAAATAAAACACTTTGCAACACCAAATGACAAATGCAGTCACATGCAGTAGGCCTTCCTGTACAAGTGCATGGACACACCTCCATCAACAGCGCTGCAATGAATATGCATGAACCAAATGAATATTGATATTAATCCTGCCCTCACCTTTGCTTTATTATTTACTGCTGTGCGTTGACATGACCCAAGGCCATAACGAGCACTATACAATCTACACTAGTACATGTACTGTACATGGTACGTGTACATGTACATGTACATGTGCATGGGAAGACATGCACAAGTACTGTACACCACTGTGGGCCTAACAAGTCCTGTTGACGAACCTTGCATTGTGTGAGCATTGCACAATAGACTGGGAAATCAATTCCGTTGCATGTGTTGTGTACACACTGTTCAGCGCATACAGGATACGTGCTGCGTTGCTGGAATGAGGTGTAAATATTCATCACTGCTTTTGTGGGCAGTGCTTAGAGAATTTAGAGGTCAACTCAGGGAGCCAACGAGGACAAAATTTGCAGTCATCGGTCTTCTTTTACCCATTTTAGACCAAAAACCTTCAATCTATATCCACCCTGAAATAGCAACATGAGGGGAAATAACTACACATTTGGTGGGTGGCTACAAAAATAGGATGGTTTACTTTGACGTCTATATTTTCCCGTCATTAGACGGACGGAGCTGTGCCTTTCTGGATACCCTCGCCTGGTCTGATGGACCTGCACCATTCTTCGTTATCGCTTCTCGGCCTTTTGGCTAAGATCATGTGTAGTATCTGTTCTTTTCAGCTTAATATCTGAAACGCTGCTCATCGAGCAGCCAGTATATTAAACTGATTTTTGGATCTGGGCCGTGGAATAGGGGCTTGCCTCGTCCCGGCCACGGGTTGGCCCGGTATAGCACTACATCCGGGATTCGGCCCACTCCCTTCGGGGAAATAATCAAAGCAAAAGATAGACCTAAACCCTGAAATCAACACATTCTTGATTTTTTTTCTCTTTAATACATCAATGCAAACCATTTTCACAAGATCTTCCATGTAAATGTGAAAAGCTGAAAAAAATTAATTTAGAATCATAAATAAATGTTAACATTTGCAAATAATCACACAAATTGTGAGCGGTTAGTACACCAAAATTAATGAATTTATAATGTTACTGAAAATAGAAAAATGCAGTATACTTTCTGCCAGTGCACTGGTATAAACCCCCATGTAGACCATTCTTAACCCTAACAGAACTCAACCAATCAAACCCCAACGGCATGTTTTGTTGGAATCTGTCAGGATGGGTACAGTACCCCTAAACTAAAAGTCTTTTACATTGGGTTGGCACACCTCCAGAATCAAAGTCGGAAATATGTGTGCACAGTTTCCCATATGGTGTTGGAATTTGCCTGGATGGGTAATGGTTCCTAGTAAATCATGCTAGGGAGTTAGGGTTATTAAAGTAATATTAGAGGAAATAATTTGAGGAGGCATCCTTAAAATATGGCGCACAGAGTCTATACAGTTGTTTTTTTTAAAGGAAAATTCCCCAAAATATCCACCAATCATTCAAGAAGAAGCTGAGGTCAATATTTCAAACAGTTAAAACCCCCAACCTTCACAAAACACCTCTCTGCCGTGTTCCAACTCCCCGGCCCTCATTGTACTCATTTATCCTAAATATCCACCAAAAAAAGTCCAAAAAGAGTCACACATTACAAAATTTTAAAACTGTTAGAACAGCCAATCTTCTCAGGCATCTGCCCTTTGCCAACTCCTACTTCCCTCAATGTATTCTCGCCTATTCTACACATCTTTGTAATCCCTGATGTTGTGTTTTTACAATATTGCAGGGCCCTAATGGATGCCGGTATTGCTGAGTCCTTAATCCATCTGATGGACCTAGACACAGACCAAGGCACTATGGCAGAGGCTGCATGGACACTCGCCTACCTCACTGCAGGGTCAGTTCACTTTGCATTTGTCTCTTTATCATTCCAACCGTTCCTCACAAGTCCTCACACATACAGTGTAGTACAGGGAGCTGCTAAGCAGGAAATGAAGCCTAGAAACAGTCACAAGCAGTGCATGACATTTTGGGTTAAAAGCTATTTTTGCTAAGCGCTTGTTTTATGTGCTTAGCAAATTTGGTGTTAAGCATCTCAATGAAGTATGTCTAACCATCGAAAGCCATTCAGAAGTCAGTCAATCACAAGTCTCTCACAAGTCCGTCCTAAATCCGTCACAAGTCCATCACAAGCCCATCACAATTATTATTATTTATTTATTCTCATCATGTAAAAACATGAAACTTGTCTCCTCGTTCTGCACACAAATATGATGTATAAAACACTAAAAAACTTCACATTAAAAACCAAAACAAAAACATATTACATAAATGTACAAATTGGCGTAACAATATAAGAACACTGACAAGAGTACACGTAAACAGAAATAGAACAACAAATTGAGCCTAATTAAATAAATAAATAAAATATCTGGATTGATAGAGCTATTATGTATAAAGACGAAAAATGGGAAGGACACAATGGCAAGCCGGGGGGGGGGGGGGGGATTAGAAAGCCAGGGGGATATGAGCGGGGGAAAAGGAAACAGGGAAAGGGTTGAAACTTACATGTACGAGGGGTATAAACACACACATTTACATCACGATTTAAAAAGCATAATATCTACTATAAGTCTGATTAAAAACACGAGATTGCCCTGGGTAAAAATAAGTGGAAAAAATGTGTCGTGTTAACGAGATTTCAATTTACTAATTTACTAATTTAACCCGACACAAATGGGTAGATGTGTGAGGAGGGGTGGATAAGAATATTATGAGATAAGACAGAATAAGGGCTAATCTGATTGCACTAAAAACACACTACAGCACGATTATAAAAACAGCATTATCTAGTATAATTCTTGTTAAAATGTGAAACTGCACTGGGTAAAAATGAAAGGTTGTGTCGTGTTGTACGAGAGTTCAATTGACGGATTCGACCTGACCTGTTTTGTACTATGAACGAATGGAGTGGGTGTGTATCGTCTTGCATAATGGTTCTCAGTTTGGATTCAAGAGCATTGTGGTACATTGATTGAATGTCCAGAACATCAACACCAATGACCCTGCTGGCAATTTTAGTGATCCTTTTCAACTTGTTCGAATTCACAACAGTCAAACCATTAAACCAGGCGATACAACAAAAAGACATGACGGACTGTATGACACTCTGATAAAAAAGCAACATAATATCACGATTAACATGAAATAATTTCAATTTCCGCAGGAAAAAGAGCCGTTGACTAGCCTTGGCACATAACTTAAGAGTATTCACATTCCAATTCAATTTACTATCAATGTACGTCCCAAGGTACTTATACTCTGTCACAATTTGGATTTCATCACCACTAATAACAACAGGTTTGATAACATTCTGATTTTTCCTAAAATCAAAAACAATTTCTTGCGTCTTCTGCGTGTTCAATATTAGGAAGTTATCTTTGCACCAATTACAGAACTTAACAATTTCGTTCCTGTATCCAGTCTCATTGTCATGACTAATCAACCCTGTCAGTGAGGTGTCATCTGCATATTTTATCATAGGACACATAGGGTCTTCACTTCTGAGGTCACTAGTGTAAAGAGTAAAAAGCACTGGGGACAAAACGCACCCCTGTGTCTCTTACAAGTCCATCATGAGCCAATCACAAGTCCATCTCAAGTCCATCACAAGTCTGTTGAAAGTCAATCACAAGTCAATCACAAGTCACTCAGAAGTTACTCGACAGAAGTCAATCAATCTCAAGTCCATCACAAATCTCTCACAAGTCCATCACAAGCCCATCACAAGTCCATCACAAGCCCATCACAAGTCTGTTAAAAGTCAATCACAAGTCCATCACAAGTCCATCACAAGCCCATCACAAGTCCATCACAAGTCCACAAGACAGTGAATTGTTTTCCTGATACAGTTTGTAGTTGTATTTAAGTTGTGCTGTTATTGTTTTCCTGATACAGCGGTGAGTATGAGCAGACCTTTGTATCATTAGGACTCATCCCACGAGTGGTTGCAGCTTTGGATAAACTATCCCAACAGACACCTCATGACTCAGCGGTAGGTCATTCGACTAGATTTTAACAGTTTCTTGTACTTTTTTTTTTTTTTTTTTATAAGGTGGATTATGTTGGAGTTACTTCTTATGTCCCTGGTATTTTGATTGACCAGTTGCATTTATTAGATTTGGGCAGAGTTGTATATTGTGGTTTCAGAGAGTGTATATATCAATAAACCTGAGGTTTGGAAAGTTTGAGTGAAAAGAAGTGACAAGCACTGCCACTTGAATTTTGATTACTCTTTTAAAAAGTTTATCTTTTCCTTTTTTTGACACACGCACAGGTAGTCACACCTCTAGTCAGATGTCTCGGCAACATCTGCAGCGGTCCGGAAGAGCTGGTTACTATGGCAACTGGAGACGGGAGTCTTCTCCCTTCCATCGGTCGCCTCCTCCACTCAGATCATCGGCACATCAAGAAGGAAACATTGTGGGCATTGAGCAACATGACAGGTGAGAAACAGTATGGTTTTGACTCAAAGTCCTTCAGAGGCAGTTTTGTTTGGAACTGAATTCTCAACAAACAAAATCCTCCACTGTGATGGAAATGAAGGAGACTTAAAGTATAAGTGGCTTAGAGTCTACCTTCCTCATTCCTGCAAAACCCTCCAAAAGCTCCTTGTAGAATTTGAAGTATCTAGGAGGCTTGAAGAACATAGTTAAAAGCCTGACAATACTCTATATGCTCTTTGTAAACCTATAAAATTCACTTAAATTGATTCCCTATGACATTCTTTCCAATATATCAGCTTGTTGTCACCAGCAGGAGCCGTAATGAGGTTTAATACAATGCCCGATCAAATCCCCGTGATCTGATTGGTTGGTCATGATCACATGTCATTGAACTATTCGTCCCAACCCACGGCCCGGCCGTACTGCAGTAAATAGAAGTTCCATTGCACGGTCACTCTTTTGGTGGCTCTGACCAATCAGATGATGAGGATTTATTCAGGTGTTGTATAAAACATATAATGAATGTTTCATATTCGTGCCATCAAAAGAATAATTTCATTCGGTGACAGATGGAATGTTCCATTCCACTCGGCTTTGCCTCATGGAATGGAACATTCATTTGTCACCATGAAATTATTCCCACCACTGGACTCATAAGCATTCATTATTTGTGTAATATATGAGCTAGCTGTTTGCGACAGTTTATTATATGGAACTATAAAGGCTAATTTTGAAAGGAAGGGGTTGTTCGGTTTTTGTTTGTTTAAGTTGTTTTCAAGAGCATCAAAGCCAATCAAAGGGCAGCTCCTGGTTGTTGGGGTTTTTTTTCCATGGATGAAGACTGATCACTGTCCCTTTCATTTCAATGCTTTGTTTATTTCCAGAGGTGTCCAGTGTCTGTCAGCAGTTGGTTAGTCTTGGTCTCTTGCCTGGCATTGTCTCCTGTCTTGAAAATACCTACGATATCAAGAGGGAGGTAAGCATTAATGGTGTCATCTATGTTTTCTCTCGTTCTTTCCATTTCTTTCTTCTTGTCTACCTTTCAACATTACATCCTTCATTCAGTACTTGGTAGTTCCTCTCCCAAATATTTTCCTTTGTTATAACATGATTATTTTATCATGGGTGGCTTGTGCGTAAAGCGCTCGCCTCTCACCTCTGTGGCCCTGGTTTGATTCCTGGCCGCGACCGTAGGCTTATGTGTACGTGTTCTACATAACCCCCGAGGACCGACACACAAAGGGAGAACAACAGATCCTTTCAGTCCTCGGGAGTTGGGTCTTTTGTTCAAAACGGTCCTCTGTAGTAGGTTCATGTGCATGCATTCTGGAATTTGTATTCCTGCGGAGACATTTCTTTGTTCTCGTGTAGTAAAGTTTTCGAGTTTGAAATTGAAGTTTCAAAATGCTTTTATTTTAACCAGAATTAATTTCCTGGGCTGAAATTTGGACTAAATATCCCTTTTCTAAAACTCTTCCATTTGCGACGGATCAACCTACCTTGGAAATTCCTAGTTTTTGAGTAAAATCCATATATCTATTTCGTGAAATTCTTGTGGAGACGTATTCATCTATAGAAATGTTCTTCTGGAGACGTATACAATCTTTTGTTCCCTATTGTGTTCATGTCTCCGTAAGGTAGTAAATTCCAGCACTTATTCTATGGGAGAGTGTTATATTATAGGGACAAAGAGAAACACAAAGCATTGTCCGCGGGAGTATAGTAAAACAAGAGTGTGTGCGTATAGTTGTGTGTTGGTTCTCTCCTGTGCCAAGAGGGTTTTTTTCCGGGCTCTCTGGTTGCCCTCCCTCCGCAACCTTATTTGACCAAGATCAAGTTTGATGTATCTTTCCAAATGTCCGAGTTATAGAGATGGAATTAAAACCAGGTGTTACATGTATTTCAACTGTTTTAACTAAGCCAGTTATCTTTAAACCTAACATGTGTGGACGTTAGTTAGTTTGTTTGGTCACTTTAAGGGTGGGGGAGGGCTGGGGGGAAGATAACTTTCATTAAGCCACCAAAATGACATACCGGTATGCTCTTCCTTTGTACAGGGTGAGTAAAAAAAAACGAAACCCAAATGTCGGGACTATTGTTTTATTGAAGTTCTGCATGTAGCACTTTCAAAATCTAGGATATGAAAGCCCAATTCATAAGCTTTCTTTTAGTACAAGAATCATTCAAATCACTTATGTACTTTTCAAGTTACAGGATTTTAAACACAACCACCGTTTTAAAGTTCTGTCCACGGATAACAAAAAAGGTGTGCATTCTTTCATCAAAATGAAAACAATTCACACACATCCCTATGTGATTTGTTTTCGCTTTGCTAAGAGAACACTGAACTTTTTTGTGATTCGTGAACAGAACCTTAATATGGTGGTTGTGTTTAAAATTCCGTAACTTGCAAAGTACATAAGTGATTTGACAGAGTCTTCAGGGTTCTCCCCAGGATTTTTTCAAACCTGTGGGGGAAGTTTTGTTGTGATTCACCAACCTGCGAAGCCATGGCGTGGGGTTCGGGGCCCGCTTAAGGGCCCCGAAAAATTTTGAACTTTAGAGGCTCTCTGGTGCATTTTAGAGCAAATCTGGGGAGTCTTTGAGGAAGATTTTCTCTTAAAATTTAGAGGAGATCATGTGATATTTTTTGTAATTAAAGAAAAAATATATCAAAATGTTTAACTTAAAAAAAAAATCAACATTTCAAAACCTGTGTTAAAACTTCCTGATCTAGAAAGTATGAATTAGATTAACAAGCAAGTTTCAAATTAAGAAATTAAGGTGAAGAAAAATATCACTTTTGCTTCCGATTACATGCCTTTCAAAATAGCGTCGGTAAGTCGGAAAAATTATTTCGCCAATTTTTTGGGCTGCTGATTGAATCATGGAGGAATAAAAACACTTGATTGAATGGAGCATATTGAACAAGGAATCATGTAGTTTTGTGCCTGGATTATTTTCCTTTGCACCACGAAAATTATCAAGACTGACCATCAAAAGTGATTAAAACTTGCCTCACCTAATTAAAAAAAAAAATTTGAGGTAGTTGATTCCACAATATGTTTAACGTACATCATGGCCCCTGGCGCCGTCAACATTCAGTCTGGCCGGCTGTACATCGCGCTGTGCTCACCGTACCGACACGGCGCAGCATCAGTGTGGCTGAAAATTTTGCACCACTGCTTCTAAGAAGCATGCTACGCGTACAATGTTTCGCCATACGTTCGAGCTTTGCAATCTCGTCATTTTAATGGAAAATACATACACAGAAAATAGAGATCACGTTCTGTGAATTAATTTGCAGAAATTCTCTTTCTCCATCGATGTTTGTTTGTTGTTTATACGATCCAACTTCGGCCGAAATCATCATGTATGCACGTACAAGGCAGTAGTCACTGGTTCCGGTCCTTCATCATCATAGCATTGATACTGTTAGCACGCGAAGGGAACCAGTGTACCATGCTGAATGCGCTAATATATAGCTGGGTGCTGGCGGTCGTCGCGAAAGACCCGTCATCGTGTGCATTTTGATCACACATGCAGCATCAGAAATACGGGATTTTTGTCAAGATTTTGAATGTCAAGATGAAATAATGGCGTATGAAACGATAATGTTGTGCATTTTAATGGCTTGTGTAATAAATTATATTGTGCGTATCGGGGGCTGAAAAATGTGATCGGCATTTTTGTCGGCGTATCGGGCCACAATTCCAGCGTATCAGGCCGATACGCACGTTTGTACGTGGGGAGAACCCTGAGTCTTGTACTAAAAAAAAGCTGATGAATTGGGCTTTCATATCCTAGATTTTGGAAGCGCTACATGCAGAACTTCACTAAAACAATAGTCCCGACATTTGGTGTGTTTTTTACTCGCCCTGTATTTAAACCCAAGTTGGCACCTGAGATCGTGTATCAAGTAACATTAACCCTCCTATGCAAACATACATTCTGTGCCAAGTTTTCCTTTCAATCAAAGGCTTTGACTCAAATGCTTTGACTCTAGGCGATTGATAAGCCAACTGTGCCTACCACTTGTCTGCTTTTGTCTCTTGACTGAATTTGACCAGTGCTTGCTGGAAATATGATCTGGCTGTTGGTGGATTGCCTGTGTAAAAGGCATTGCAGGGGAAGAGGATAGATTTTTTGACTGTCTGTGACTGTTCAGACAGCAGGAGGTTAAAGCAAAATTTGATGTGCATTGGATGCTGGCTTTTGTTTACACCTTTTAACCTTCATCAGTTAGGTTAACCACAAAAGGGTAATCTTGAGGTCTCAGCTTCATATTTCGCCAGTTAAAATGCCTTGCCACTTTAAACATTTTATAAGTCCATACGTGAAGAGGCATTCCTAAACTTTGTTTTGTTTTGAAACCTTGTTCCAACCACTGTCCACCCAGGCAGTAGTGTGTCTGTGCAACCTAGCCTACCAAGGCCCAGCTCTCTGTCAGGTGTTGCTGCAGCACGGTGCGTTCCCTGGAGTCATCAATATGCTCAAGAATCAGGACACCGATGCCATAGGTCTGGCCCTGGGATTTGCGGATTTGATCCTCAAGAACGACAGTAGTGTGAGTCCATTGAATCTAGAGGTCTTTTGAGCAGTTATGTTATATGTTGTAGGAGACATGTATGCAACTTTGTTTTAAACATCCCAAAAAGATTTTATGTTCATTGATTATGAGCCCTGGAACAATTTCTAAAGATTTGATGGATGCTATCAATGCCTTGAAGTTTTGTCTGAAACAAGTCATATTTGCAGACTTTTCAGAATATTTTTATGATGGTGCCCCCCCCCCCCAAATAAAAAATCCTCAAGATTATTTATCTTTCAAAATGACCAGAAACTGCATTTCTGGACAATTTTGAAATGAGGGTTGTCTTTTCTTCAGGTCCAACAAGAAACTTTTGCTGCCATTTTCAAAGGCAATTTTTTTTTCCAGGAGATCAAATCGTTGTAGTCCATTTTCCCCAAAAACTGATTGCCAAACTGCACCAAAAATTATCCTACCACACTTTCCGAACAACAGAACCTGTTTTTAAACGAAAACTGAGTCTGTGCGGCAATAGAAGGCGCTGTTGTAGCTACCACAGAAAATTTCAAACAAAAATAACATTGACACGCATGATTATTAAAATTGACGCGCGCGCTGACCAGAGACCAACTATTTAATTTTTTTGGCCAAAGAGAATAGAGACATGTCATGGTGGGCGGACCGCAAGGTAATGTGGGAAATAAATCTTACTCAATGGCTACCGCCCTCTGGAGAATATTGCAAATGTAGTAATGCTCTTCAGTATTAAGATGAGCGTGGTCGAATTATAGTTTGAGGAAGATGGATTTTCTTTGCCGGTTGTATTTTCAGACTTGATCTTTTGTCTGAGAAGGTGTCTGGCATTCCTTGTAATGATTTCTCATTCTTGGTGATGCAGGCCAAGCATCTCTTTGAGGAGCACGGCGGTCTGAAATTGCTGGAGCCCTTGGAGTATCACAACAATCCTGAGATACACAAACAGGTGGCCGAGTTCCTTGAAGCGCACTTCTATCAAGACGATGAGCATAAATGATCAGCGAACAGGTGAAGGAATCAGAATTGAAGATCGGCGTAACATGGAGTCTTTGTAATATAGATTAATCGACATCGTGCATATGTTTCAGAACAACTTGTACACTGAGGGACCATTTGCAAGGCTGAGAGGTTAAAGAGACCATTTTTTATGGGAGTTCAAATTATAAACAAGATACTGTGTCGACATGGGGCATTTTGTAAGGCGTGTAGCTTAACATTGCAGTTTTAAATCAAATTAGGTTTTGCCCTTCACCGACGTTCAAACAGCACTGTTTACTCGGTGTGTTACCTCCCGAGTGAAAGTTGGAAAAAATCACTCGGGTGGGACTCGAACCCACAACCTCCTGCTTTCTAGTGCAGACGTCTCACCACTCGACCATTGCAGTTTTAGTGGTGAAAATGACGTCATAGCCAATATAGGCCCAACCTCGTCCCCAGGGTGTCGAGCAGTACGCGCCCACCACTACCTGGTCTCTCACCCTGGTATGGGATCATTTGCATGTGCAAGATTTTTGAACACGAACATGTATGCAAAAGAGGAATAGTCTGATGCCTGCCTGTGCGTTACATTTGCATTCTTTTTTGTATGCGGTGTCTGGGGTAAAAACAGAATTAATTCATCGCAGCGCCAGCATGGCGTGAGTTACAAAAACACAATTTTATTTTAATTAAACTTTTACGATCTTAACGAGACAACATCCAGTATCACATTTCATATTAACATGAACAAATTAAAAAAGAAATGAATATTTTCGAGAAGGCGTGGACAAATGATGGCGAAAACACGTACTGCACGTTGTGAATAACAGCACCAAGTACACGATATAAATCCATTTCTAGCCAATTGCGGTATCAAATCAGGATGCAGGAAGGAAGTTTCCTATCCAGGGCTTACTATCGGAAACGAGGTTGGAAATAAAGTAAGCACTGGGGACGAGGTTGATATAGGCCTACAATGGTCAAAGATCACGGATGAGATATTTTAGAATTTTTTGATTTAAAAATAACTGTCGAAAGTTGGAATAACTTCAGCTTTTTACCTATAAAGGTTTATTAAAAGCAAAAGATATGTAAACCATGGATTCTGCGGCCCTTGGCAGGCTACAAACTTTCATCTGATTATCATTATTTTTTAATTTCCTCCATGCCAGACCTGCACAGATGTGCTGAAACAATTCTATACCCGAATGTTACTATGAATGTGTAGAATTAACTGATAGCAGAAACCCACTCTCTCCGTTTTGCACATACCAAAGCCCTCGATCGTTTGCTGACAAGACGCCCAGGCTTAATGGGGGGTTGGGGGCACCTTTGCAACATGTTGCGTGTATTCTCCATGTAACCTTTCCTTTGGCCTGGTAACTGCAAGCTCTTGAATGTGTTTATAATAGCAGAAATATGGTGGGGACCAGGGCTCTTAACCAGTTCGCGTTGGATGACGTGTATACACTCAAAGGTTTTGCAATATTCGGAACAGATGACGGATAAACACTTAACGAGCGAGGCCGGAAATATCTGTCAGCGACCCGCTTGCAGCGAGCGAGGCCGGAAATATCTGGGTTTTTCTACCCGCAAGATGATGGCCTGAACCCATCTGGCATCAAGGTGAGAAATAATCCTGTGCCTGGGTCCGGTCGATGTCAAAATACTCCCGGCGCCAACTGGTTAAGAAGCCTGCACAAGTTGATGAGGCATTTAAAACAAAAAGGGCCATGCTTAAAAAAGCCAATGTGTGTACTACGTTTGTGTCCTAATTGTTTTTGCTCTATGCCCATACTGCAAAAGAATTACAATATATGTGTTATACTCTTCATGTGAATATCTCTCAAACTCCGAGTGTTAAGTGAATTCTGATATTTTTTTTTAAGTATGACATTTTATATGATGTTTTCAATTGCAGTAGTGTAGACGTAAAGCTTAACATTAAGATTGTTACATTTTAATTGTGTCAATGAAATCATATTCTTCCTTGAAAAAAATAATGTGTATTGATTTTTTTAGTTTATGATAGAAGTTTTATTACAAATGACATTACAAAAAAGAGAGGAATTTGTTTCATGAGATATTTTTACGCTTTTTATTTGTAAACACACATTCCAGGAAGTTTTCGGGCTACAAAATTGTACACAGGCAGGAATTGTGATTGGTTAAGAAATTTTGTCAACCTTGCATTTTTTTTTTCCCTTCAATTTTTGTCGTCAATGTATGTTTTACAATTTTATAATAAATTACACAAACTGCCATTTAATCTTCAATTTTGTTTTACTGATACAGTTTTCAACATATCGCTCTTCAAAACCTGATTTTAACTGGTTTTATTGTATCAAAATTGCATTCACTGAAATAATGAAAAATTATTCAATTTTTTTTCCAAATAGTAAATTTTAGAAGAGTTGTACTTGTTACCTAAAATTTCTTTTTAAATAATGACAACAAAGTGAGGAAAGTTTATCCCAATCATTGAGACAGGGATTCCTTTAGTTGTTCATGCATTCTTTTCTTAAGAAGATCTGCTAGAAAACATGCTCCAGTTTATCAAGTAAATCTGGCGGAGATAATTTCTTTCTGTCGAAAATCTGAAATCAAGGAACTAGTGCCATCTTAAGATATAAAATATTCCATGACATTTGTACTAAAGTGGTGCCAGCCATGGGAAAAATGTTGCAACCTGAAGCCACATTTTTCTTCATATATCTTCTCAATGAAGGTCAGTCATTGCAAAAATGATGATAAGACATGAATCTGGGACTGAGAAACATTTCCAATTTTGTTAGGAAATACTATTTCTTGACTCTCCATAGACTTTACACACAACCGCTGAAGTGGCGTCAGGTTGCAACATTTTTTCCCCCAGCCATTTGACCAGCGCCTTGATCTATCTTGTAAAAGCTCTTAATAAATACCTTATTATTATTATTATTATAATTATCTGAGGTGGCACTGCGCGGTAGCACCATGCTCGGGCGAGTCACGCTCAGGTAGTACGCACGCACTCCGGGCTCCTTCAGCCAATAGTGTTGCCAAAATATGCGCGCACACCTCGTCTTAAAGAGGCATGCGGTGTGCGCGCAAGCGTGGCACCACCTCAAAATGGCTTCTAATTTTGTTCGCCAGATTACACTGTATTTTACTCAAAGCTTGCTGTTAAGGTCATCAAAAACGTCGACTCTTTTCATTACCTGGCAAAATTTGTAACAACCATCTGTTTCCGTAGATCCGTTGCAATGCAGCCATATTTGAGGTACGTGCCTTTATTCCAAAGAGATAGGCATGGCTAACCCTCGTGTGGTTTCATTGTTCACCCCAAAGATGGCGGCTGGTTGCAAATGGTCAATGTGAGAGCCGTTTTTGTAAAAGGCCACATCTTTCAAATTCGACTTCTTTTTCTTCAGATTTTTATTCTTCTGTGTATAATGTGAATGTACCATCATAAAACCCAGTGAGTTTGTTAGCAGTGTGTTTAGTTTAGTTTTCCATGTCAAATGCGATCTTATAAACGGTAGAGATTATTAAGTATAACAATTCACAGATTATATCGGAAGCCACTTCAACTGAAGAAGTTCCTTTCGGCTTTGTTAGTCACTTTGTACACATCCTTGACTATGTCAGTAAATACGTTGTACAAGTTAAAGTACTCCCTCGTTAGTTTCTAAAACTTAACATAGATATCGATAAAAGAGGAAATTAGCTGTTTTTGAGTCAAGCAGCAAACTAGTTATATAAATCGATACTTAGATATATTTTGTAGAAAGTAATGAAATATTTGAACGAAAAATAAAAATCTTCCTATGTTTTAATAATGTTTTAATATTATGTGCTTGATACAAAAGCAGCAATTACATTGTTTTAGTTCTGAGGTGAGCAGTTAGCATTTACTTTGTGTTTATGAAGTCAGGGAGCCAGGCAAAGATGGCTGCTTTTCAAACTGTAATTTCTCATTCATTACAATACACATGCAATCTGAAGACACTGGCAGCAATATATCACTCGGACAATTGAAGCAGACATTTTTGTTTGTTCACATCACAAAGCATTTACAATTCTCAAGTCGTGCAAATCTTCAGGCCTATGGTTCACTTGAGTCCTTCTTTCTGATTACTCAAAAAGTTGTTTGGCTACTAGTTACACATTCAACATTAGCTTCAAAATGTACAGTCCCTTTTGGTATTTTAGCATTCATATCAACATTAGTCTGTTCCAAATTTCTTTATAAACTTGGGAGTTTGTAGAAACACCAGTTTCATCTCCTTGTTCAACGAACATACCTAAATTTTGCACTTGCTCATTGCAGTGGCTTTACGATGTGCGTGTTTTAGTTTTTAAATCCCCCAGTTTACACGTCATTTACTGTTAACAGATTCTTCAGTACCAACTGAGAAAAAAACAGCTATCCATATAAACTACTTCGCTCATAAATACCTGTAATTACTTGCACAGAATCTGTCAAACCATTGACAAAGTTAGTGCATCCTCATTTTGTGCATATCTTTGTAGTACCTTTCATATTCACATAATCAATTCTATAAACGTGTTAGTATTGCATATTAACATTTTAAGCATTAAAAAAAAGGGTTACAATGGTTATTACACATATGCTCAACTTAATCTCAAATATTCGTGAAACTTCAGGGAGCTTTTTTTGTTGTTGCCATGTTTCAACTTGATGAGGCTTGATGTACGTTTACTATATTGGGAATGGAGACCAGCTCTTATCATACAAAAAAAAGTAGATGTAATTTCAATAAAGTAATAAAATTGTTAAAAAATAAATACTGCACAAACCTTCAGACACAATTATTGTGTGTTCCACTCCCCGAAGCCTGCCCTCAATGTTCCAGACATTAACTATAACGGGCCCTTTTCTCAGTAAGATTGAACGATAGCTGTTGTTCTAGTAACTTTTCAGTGAGTGAGTTTTTATGTAATAAGCCGGCAACCTTCACAATTACAACAGAAGAGGGGTCTTATTTTTTTGCAAAGGGAGCTTTGCTTTCATTCTGATATGGCAAAACATGAGGAGTCACTTACTTTTGAACAACCTAAATATAAGCATAATCATTGCCAAACAATACCTTTTTTGCCCAATTTATCTCAGTAAAAAAAATTCCAGCTCTCAACAAAAATATAAAAAAACCTTCGCACAGGGCGAGTAAACAAAGAAGTCCCTTTGGACACGTACTTGTCTCCCACAAAAAGGGTAAGGATTACCACATTTGTTTTCTTCGGCCAACATTCGGTCTGGGTATTGACCACAGTCTGTAAAGGTTTCACTGATATTCAGCTATACATGAAAAATATACAAGCCCTTTTTCGGGGACTAACCAAAAAAACACTACCAACACAATTTCCAGAATGGGCCTTTTGCTTTCAACACAATAGCAACAATGGGCCTCTGGACAATGAAGGAAATAAAAGGAATAACAGAACAGGGCATCAATTAAATGGAATTACATTTATTGAACTTGAGTATGAATTTATAGGATAAGGTTCACATAATTGTCACTGTCCTGTTCAGGTTCTTGCTTGTTTTATTTTGTCTGTATTTTACAACGTTTCTGCACACTGCCCGAGCGTTAGGCTGCCGTACCTTCGGAAGATGTTCTCCAAATTAACCTATCGTGTCTTGTACCCTACCTGTTTCATAAACATTCTGACCATTAAGGCCCTTTGGACAGCAGTAAACTGTGGCCTTGTCATGGCTACTTTGAAATGTTATTTTATTTATTTATTTACTTATGTTGTGTCTTGCAGTGTGCTGGCCATTAAATAACGTGAAATATCCCCTTCAAAATATTAGGACATATTGTATTGGTAGGGTTTTGGGGTAGTCACAATGTAAGGCCTGTCTCCTTTTCATGCACGGCTGAATATCGGTGAAACTTTTACTGACTGTGGTCAATAACCAGACCGAATGTTGGCCAAAGAAAACAATTCGTCAATATTTCTAGTTTTTGTGGGAGACAAGTGGAAACCAAAGGGACATTTTTTTACTCGCCCTGTATAACTCTCATTGCAGACAATATTAGTCATCTTTCATTTATACACAGTCTATACAGAACTTCTTTTTACAACTCCTCTAGCAGAAAAAAAGTATTCCTTTAAATATATACTTCTCAGTTACAAAATAAAAGTATTTTTAGGCAAATTTCGAAAATGAGTTGATGCTACTTGAGGCAAAGGAAAAGTGCAACTACTATTATTCACAAAATAACTTATAGCTTTATTTACGTACAGAAATATGAGTGATATGTACATGTACACAAACCTCAAATAATTCTATTAGCTCCGTTAGCACTTTTGTGGACAGAAATGTACACAACGTGTAAATGTTCTACAAAGGTTGCCTTTTTAAACAAAAGGCGGATGACTAATGTATTAGATCTGAAGCACTGTAAAAGGTCATCCCAAGATCCGATCAGAAACATATCTGTGCCAAAACTTGTATATCAATTCAACACAACTTTCAAGACCACACACTGCACATTACGCTGTTATCTTTTTCAGACACTTGGATTTCTTGGACATTGAGACTGACACAAACCACACAGAACGTCACAGCTATCACACACACAAAAACACACAGACCCAGCACCTGAGAGTTTCACACAGAGTATTACGACGTGCCATAAAAGGGGTGCTTCGCGGGGGTGGGGCTTAGCTTAGACAAGGGGTGGGTCTTGCCATGCTGCTGCTTTTTCCTGCTGGCTTGGGGTGACTCGCAATCCTTAGTTGCTGGGGCCTTTTCAAAGCTGGTTGGTTTCGCAGCGCTGTCGCTGGTCTTTCCCGAAGCACTGTTGCCAGTGCCTGTCGCAGTCGATGTCACCGGTTCGTCAGAAGCTGAGGCACTGCTGAGGCTGCGTATCTCCACCGATGACGGTTCTTCCAGGTAAAACTGCAGCGGCACCGTGTCCTTTTGTGGTGTGACCAGTCGGGCGTGGGCACTCCTACGCCTCTCGTCCACCGTCAGATCCCCTTTAGCCAGCTGAGACTGGTTCTCTGGAGAGGATTCCAGGGAGCGCGTGCCGGAGTCCGAGCGCAGGCGGTTGCCACGGATGCTGACTGGACGGGTGAAATCGCTGCGCCGCATGACCACGGGGGAGCCTCTCTCGTTGGACAAGCGCGCAATGGAGTTGGTGCGTCTTAGGTTGAGATCAAGTTTGGCAATTCGCTCTCCGATACTCTCCACATTTAATTTCTCCTTCTCACCTGCGTTTTCTGTAAAAAAAATAATTAAAAAGGTAAAACAAATGAAAGTACACTCCTGGAAAGTTATCAGCGCGGTTAGAAGAATGTAGGTCAACAAAATGTAATGAAGACTACCTGGTGAATCATCTATGTTGCATGTAGTCAGGCTTTCTGTTGTTGCTTGTGAATCTCAAGTCAAAAGGACTTGGGGGAAAATTCACAATTATATCAAAGGTCCAGACTGCCAGAATAGGTCAATGAGGTCTGTATTTTGTTTTGAGATCTTTGGAGAAGAAAAATTATTTTCACGTCTCATTTTATTTGATTATGATGATGCGAAGGTAGATACGGTCTTTGGCCAAAATTAATAGGCCTAGTGGTTTAACAGTTTGTTTCATTCCATCTGCAACGAGATAATCATTTCAACTGTATTTTCCATTATACTTGTATTAGTAAGTAGTAAGGTCTGTCAAAGCCAATATGGCCCATCAGGCCGGCGTTTATTTCCAGTTTTAGTGGCATGAAACGACTGAGAGTATTTCTATTCCCCCTGGATGGGATGCCAGTCCATCGCAGGTTACTCCCCAGCTAATGCCGGCATCCATTTATACTCCTCGGTGGAGAGAGGCAGGTGGGGTGAAGTGGCTTGCCCAAGGACATAGATTTTGGCCAGCACCCGGATGAAACCCCTGACCTTTTCATCACAAGTCTCGAAGACTAACCACTAGGCCTTACTCCCCGTACAATTGTGTTAACCACAGCATATTTACTGAAACTTTTGTTCGTAAATTGTGTGTTAAAGAGTGTAGTAGTCAAAAAATCGCATAAAATATCGGCAGACGGATTCACATATACAAAAACAATTTGTAACTCTCCACTTCCTTTACTCATGTCCAACATGTCAGATAAGCCTGACTACATACACACAATGACATAAAGTGAATGCTCTACTCACTACCACGGTCTACACCCTCATCTACTTGGGCTAGCCCCGGGGAGGTTTCCTCCTCTTCTGACGAACCTGAGTCTGACGACACTGGAGGAGCCTTCTCTGCCACTGACTCTCTCAGCGAGATGCTCTCCCCGGAAATCATTTTGGATTCAGTTGTGTCCTCGATTGTGATCGGGCTAGGAGGCTTGGTGGACTGGTCTGGGGGAAACAATGAAGTAAAATTCTCAAATGTGGCCGACGACAAAGCTGAGGGTTGGCTAACATCTTAACTCCAATCATGTTTTCCTCGTGCAATTTCACACTTTTCTGGTGAAAGGGGTGCGGGGAAAGTGATTAACAGTGGTCAAAATCATCTCATCAGGGCCTTAACCCTTTAGTCACAGCACCGCCCCAAACCGCCCTGCCTTTTAATTCCTGTAGCGTTTGAAAACTGCTCGAGCACCTGTGGTTTTACAGGTGAATGTACACATTGAAATACACATGACAGGTGCGAAAGAGTTAATTTCCACTTGTCAAGTGCCCTTCTGTTTTACACTAGTTTGTCTGCAAAGTTGTAGCTTTATGTTGGAAGGTGTGTGGGAGATGGGATTAACATTGATCAAAACCTCAACAGGCCTTAATTTTAGCTTCAAAAGTGCCCTCATTTTACTTCACTAATTTGTTAAGGTTCGGGCATAAAATGGAGCACAACCTTTCAAAAGCTTCATGGAAGTTGGTTTCAATTATGGATATCTACCTGTGGCCTCTGTGGACGATGACCATCCCTCAAACTGCTGGGTGTGTTTGCGGACATCCCCAACCTTCCAGGATGAGATGCCCTCCTGGGCGTAGGCGGAGTTAATCTTCATTTCCTCTTGAGTCTCCTCTTCCATCTTTGTCTCTGTCTCCAACTCCTCAGCTGTGTCTTTGGTTGGTTGCTCTTTCTGATCCACCCTGGCATGCTTGTTCTGGCTTCCGACTTCTTCAAACTTCCTCTTCCCATTTGTGGTGCTGTCCCGGATGATGACGACCATCTCTTCCTGTGCCGCGTCAGTCACTTCCGGTGCAGTCTCTTCCACTTCTTTCTTACTCGCTGCTTCTTTCTTTGGTTCTGACTCCTCCTGTTGACCATGAGAGGAGAGCTGCTCAAAATCTATGGTCTGCCGTTTCACTGTTCCTGGCTCCAGCGGAATATCCTCCCCGAAGTACGTTTTTATGAAGGCTTCCTTGGAAGGGCTTCCGCTCGTGGGTTCCTGAGATGCCATACATTCTTGTGACGTGGTGTCCTTGACTGACTTGTCCTCCTGGGGAGCAGGGCTCTGGGAGATTGCTCCAGTTGTCTCAACAACCAGAGAGCACCTGGAAGTAACTGAGGAAGACTTGGAGGGTTGCAGCAGCTGTTTAGTTGGAGAATCGGACGGTGGGCTCCCAATCTCAATGCTCTGGCTTTTTCTCTTCTCTGCCAATGACAGGAGCTCCTCATCATCTTCGCTATCGTTAACGGGACTCTTCTGAGATAGAAGTTGCTCAGTAATCTTTTTCACGCGCCCCTTTTCAAGGGCTTGCAGCGTTGGGCTTGCGGTGGTGGTCGATTCTTGAAGCAGGCTGACAGCTGGGGGCTGGGGGGATGAAATGTTACAGGCATCTATCTCTGGCTTTTCACAATCCTGAGATTCGGCAAGTTTCGGCTGATGAGTAGTATCAGGGTCATCAATCTCACAGGTAGTACTATCACTGGTGGGTAGTGTGGTGGTGTCTGGGGAAACCTTTCCTGATCTGGTCAACGGAGGGCTACCTTTCTCGGCAGCTTTGGCTTTGAGTCTCTCCTCGATGTCCTGTTTCTGTTTCTGCACAGTTCCGGAGCTGACAGGCATCTCCGGCTCCAAAAACACAACATCCACAGTACTGACGATTTCCTCTTCGCTTTTCACCTCGACCTTCTCATCATCGGGGACCAGGTGATTGTTTTCAAAGGACGTAACTCTTAGCTTGACCGTTCCTTCAACCGGTGGGATATCGTCGGTATGTGAGGAGCTTAAGCCAGTAGCACTGTTGTTGTTTGTATTCAGTCCTTCTTTCAGGCTGATATCGGCAACTTCACTAGGAGGCGATACCTCCATCTCTTCAGCTTGTTCAGGTTGGCTCGGGGTGCTGGTCATTTCAGGTATTCCCTCTTTGAAGCCACTTGGGGATTCCCCAACTGCCAAAACATCCTCTGTCACAACTTGTCCAAGCATTAGAGATTCCATTTGAGTATCTTCTGGTTGAGTGTCCATCTGTACATCTTCAAGCACAGGTGCTGCGGGCAGCTCATATTCAGTACGGCCAATAAGGAGTGGCTCTGTGGGCACGCTCAGAGTGGGACTCGTTGGGGTGAGCATTTCTGGTACAATGATCTGAATGTCCTGACAGTCGTCATCTAGCACCATGAAATCAATGTCGGCAGGACTGGTGCTCAGGCGGCCGGCCTTCTCGTGGACCGATTTGCCTTGAGTGTTGCTTGGGAAGTGCGCTTCTGCCACCGAATCCTTCGGGGACCAAGATCGGCGTCTGTTGTGGCCCAACTGCGGTGCAAGACCCAGCGAGAGTGCCGCAGTCTGCACAGTACTCCCTTGGTGAGTTGTTTCCAATGTCTTAGAGGCTGCATCGGGTAAGTCTTCGGTGCTTGAGGTGGACTCGATGGTTTCTTGGCTGCATTCTGCCGAGCTGGCTAGGGAGCTCTCCGACTTGCTTCTCCACAGCTTATTGTGTCTCTGTCGACTACAGGGAAAAGGGCCAAGCACAATAAAACAACAATGGTAACTAACAAAGGTTACTGCAATACGCCAAGAAAAGTGCTCTGCAAGGGACACAATGAAAGCTGGATTCAGAGTTATAATCCGGTCATCAGAGGACACAGTACAAGTCCAAATGATTAGCCATACAAAAGAACTATGACGGTGACCCGACTTGTAAGTACCTTGATACAAATATGGTGGGATTTCAAATAGGGGTACTGTTCTTAAGTCCTCAAGCACAATTACACAGTAGAACAACACCCCTTCCCAAGCAGTCACACAATTGTGACATCCAAACTTACATTATGGAAACAGAACACTTTCTCCTTGGAACTGATCATTTGGGGAATGTGGCTATTACCTGGCATCCAGCATTCCTTCGTAGACCTGAAGCTGCTGCAGGAAGCCCGTGTTTGGATTCACACACTTGCGCTTTCTGGCCACGAAGCTCCTGGCTTTCTCCAAGGGCCAGTTGTACTCCTTCATTGCATAGGCAATCACCTGAAATGTAGCCGGTAGAAGTAACGAGATCGCTGAAACTGGTTACTGGATGATATGACCATGGGACCCTTTGCTTGGATCTTTTGGAGCATAAAATGTTGCTCTGGGCAGAAATGTTTTGCTATCTAAAAATGCAGGCTACCAGCTAAGATGGCATGTGATGTCTATTGCTTACGATTGGTTCTCGGCTCATTTTTGCTTCGTAAGTGAATTTGCTGTACGTAAATATTCTGCTTATTGACTCGGTGAAACTTGGCCTAGGGGCTGATTTCAAGACACTACTTAGTTGTTGGTGGAAAGGTTGTGCAATGCAATAGCACTTGACATTTACACAGTATTTGTAACAAGCGAACAAACATAACCAATGGGCAATTCCGTAAAATCCAACGTACGTCTGGTCACATGTACAAGGTCGTTAAGGTGGTGGTACCATAGTTTGGTCTGTAATTGTTTTCTACTCATTAGATGCCACATTATTAAGTGATGTATCACATTCACTTTTCCAACAGCAGCTCATTCAAGTGTCTGAAATGTACGTCCAAATCTAGGGACTTGCCTCAATGAAAGTTTACTCAGACTAAATTCTTGTCTTGGAATTTTTCCACATCTCCCCAGAAAAATCTTATTGTATCACACGCACACACTGTGTCAAAAATGATAACTTAGGAAACTTTTTTCCCCACCAATGTGGGTATTTGACTGTTTTTTTTTATGAGAGACAACAGACTTACGGTGGCAGCAGAGCGACTGATTCCCATCTTGCAATGGACCAGAGCCTTGGAACCTTTTTCTCTGTTAGGAAGAGGAAAAAGAAAATACAATGCTAAGAAAAGCATTTTTAAGTGTGGATCTCAATTGTTTCCATTTCATTATCAATCCTAACTCCCTAGGGTGACTTACTAGGAATCTTCCTCATCCTTGCAAATCCCAACACCATATGGTAAACTGTGCAACCACGTAAACAGTTGGACTCTGTTTATGTGTGGTATGCCTAATCCCATGTAAAGCACAGTCAGTTTACTCGTGCAGTACTCATCCTAACAGATTCCAACAAACCCTGTGTTGGAGTTTGGCTGGTTGGGGATCGTTAGGGTTAATAGGCAAATTTTAGTTTACGTTCTGTTTTTACAATATACTTCTGTTAATATAATGATATAGGTCTGATGCAATTGTGGTGCATGTCCAGTTTATCACCAACAAGAGAGATTTCTGTCTCAGAAGTTGTCAAAAATTGCCAGGTCACAGCCATAATACTTTTGGTTTTTCCCATAATACTTTTGGTGTTTTTAAACCAGTCATGTAAACCCATAGATCATATTGCTTCTAGTTGCCATAGTTACTGCACTCACTTTGCCTTTGAGAGGAATTTGTAGGTTTCGTCCCAGTACTTCAACAGTTCAGAGCTCTCAATGTCATACAATCGCACATTGTGATAGATGAAACGATTCGGGTAGAAATTGTCAATCTCCATAGTTACATTCAGAACGTAGCCAACACTACAGAATTGAAACACAGATAAACAGTTTTTATAACACAATGTCACTTTTTTTTCTCGGTTGCTTTGTCTGTGCCGGAGGCCGTGTATACACGCAAACGTTTTGCGGTATTCGGAACGGATGGCAGATAAACACGCAGGGACCGAGGCCAGAAATATCTGTCAACAACCCGCAGCGAGCGAGGCCGGAAATATGAGTGTGCTGCCCAAGGGTGATGGCTTCAACCCGCCTGGCTTGAGGTTGAGTGAAAAGTAATCTCTCTCCTCGTTCCATTCTCGTCAAAATAATCCCGGCATGAACTGGTTAAGTGTGCTGTTCACTAGCTCTTGTAAGTTGAAAATTTAACCAGTGTTGTCTTAGGGCCAAGTGACACGAGGCAATTATTTGCAGGCAACTTGGAGGCACCCAAATGCACCCCAAGTAATAATGGAACCCTTGGAAGAATGGTTAGCATCTTTCCAACAGTAAATGGAAACCCTCAGAACATTATCGGTAGTTCAAATTATCGTTTTCTGGAGACTGCCTTGAACAAGGTGCCTGTAAATTGCCTTGTGTTACGCGGCCCTAAACTTACAATTTGGGGTGAAATGATTACTCTTCACTTTTATGCAACAGTTTAAGACATGAAAAGCTCAGCAGTAATTCCCAGGTGTGCATGTGTACAAACAAAAGTCCTGGTCAAAGTTCACAGAGACCTGGGAATGAAAGGTATGATTCTTACCCGTTTGCTTCCAGTTCCTCTAAGTGGGATGCGTTCCACTCAGACCCCTGTGAAACAAAGAAAAGCAAGGCTATTGGAAAAATGTGTGGCTGATTATGGAGGATGCACTGCATCAAGGTCTCGGGCCAGACCTTGTGTTGTTTATGCTCAGCCGTGCATACATTTAGGCCTCGATTATACTTGAATCCTCCGCATTGCTCCAGGATGTCACTGGCTTTATCTCACCATATTGACAGTGATTGCTGGAGGATTTTGCAGGATTGAGGCAGTGGTCACCCCTCCAAGGACCACATTCAAGAAATAAGGGAGGATTTTGGAGGACTAAATAACGGCGGATTTTGGAGGATTGAAGCTGCATGCAATTTTTACATGGTGGCTTTTGGAGAGTTGGAGGATTTTGCAGAATTGAGGTTGCATCCTAGCAAAAATGCCTGCTGTGGGGGAATCGCCACACCTCCTCCACAGCGAGTCTGTTACCTTCGCAGCATTGAATAATGCCGGTACCCATTTAACACCTGGGTTGAGAGGAGTAATTGAGGTAAAGCGCCTTACTCAAGGGCACAACACGCATGGCCACGGCGGGGCTCGAACCCACAACCTCACGATCATGAATCCTGTGTTCCACTGCTGAACCACACGTGCCCTAAAAATGCCTAGGGAGTTAGGATTAAACTAAAGCAAGTGGGATCCTTAGGTCAGTTATGAAGAACCAAATGAGTTTTTACTCACCAAGTAGATGTGATCAAAGATGAGAGAGGCGGAATCCATCTGCCTCATGTAGGTGATCAACTGCTCGTCCAGGTAGTGTCTGTATTCCTTCAAGCTCTTCCCTAGATCATTCTCAATCCTCACTCGCACCTTGGTTCAGACAGGGGGTGTAAAACAAAAGATTTGTTTGACTGATTGCAAGAATTATTGTGACAAAGCCACGTTGTCTTCTGGCTTCAATTTTCATTCATTTGAAATCACACAAACATTATACAAGTTAAACTGTCTATGAAGCAAGAACTATTTTGGGTTTTTGATTAAACAGCAGGTACATTCTCTTTTGTTTGCTGTGTTTGTTTGTTCTTTTGTTTTTCCCGTAGCCTAAGCCACCTACCTCCCTGCTTGTGATAGAGTCCAAGTCTGCCGATGCCATGATGTCTTTGATCTTCAAGAAGATGAGCTGCTCTGTCAGCTCACGGTCACTGGGATAGTAATGGCCTCTGTGACAGAAGACATACAGTCGGTTTATTTCTCTAGCTGTCCTGACCTGAACTTGAAATTGGGTCAAAACACTCCACACTGAACAGTCCAACGTCTACAGGATAATCTCCCAAGGACTGCAAACTTGATATGACATGGCCACTTTGTTCAACCTCAACACACCGAGACTAGGGGAGTTTCCCAAATACTTGTGTTCCATCCTCAACTCAGCTTTGTTCCATCTAAACTAAGTTCCATCCTCAATTAAGGGGAGTCGGGTTGGCGTAGCGGTACTTTCCTTGCCGTCCACCACTGTGGCCCGGGTTCGAATCCCACCTGGGCCAACATGTGGATTGGGTTTTCAGTCCGTACCTGATTCCATGGGTGTTTCCTCAGAATATTACTCTGGGCTTTTCCTCCCACCTCTAAAACTGTAAATTCTTCTCATTGTCTTCTTTCTACGGGTTGCTTCAGGCTTTCAAGATGCAGTGCCTAGGGCACTTTTGAGGAATCCTTGGTTACATTACCAGACAGAAATAAAATAAGTAAATAAGCTCTTGGAAGTACAGTTGCAGTACTCTTGTGCCCAAGCCCATTAATGTGTGATTTACATATGACAGTGTGTAACATTGTTATGACAAATATTCAATGAGATTTCATTTTTCGGAGTAGCGGGACAAGAAGGTAGGAAAAAATACGGAAAAAGTATGAATTTCAAGAAAAAAGTTGGAAAAGTAGGAGCAAGGTAGACAACTTAGGAAAATAGACCTTTATCATGCTGCCACTATTCCAGTCATGTTCCCTGTATCCAATAACAGTACTGAATGATTTGGTTTTTTGTGCAAAAAGGAACCAGACTATTTTTCCTTCCAGCCTCGCTTTGGTTACGTTGATTTGAATGGGAAAATAATCAAGATGGCCGCAACATGATAATGATCTATAGGACTACTTGAAAGCCTATTCAAGCCAAGGTGAGTGCACATTTTTCTAGCCCAATAGGTCAAAGGAGCATTTAGTCAATGCTCATGGCCTGCGCGCAAGCATGGTTCTACCTCAGTGATGGCTCCTACTTAATATTGCCAAATAAGTCTATAATGTAACACTCATGTAGGAAAAAACCCCAATAGTATGCAACTAATGAATGTCGATGAGTGCAATGGTAAGAATAATTTTGTGGGGTGACAGATGGAATGTCGCCTCAAGGAATGGAACATTCCATCTGTCACCTCATGAAATCATTCTAACCATTGCACGAACGTGAAACATTCATTATTTGTTTTTTACAACACCTGAATAAATCCTCGTCATCTGATTGGTCAGAGCACCCAATAGTGTGACTGCGCAATGGAACTTCCGTGCAATGGAACTTCCATTTAACATGGAAAAGAAATTTTACTCTATTTTTTTTTACCGTGCGGCCGCGCCACATGTTGGAACGAATAATTCAATGACACGAGATCAATAACCCACCAATTAGATGACGGGGATTTACTCAAGGGTTGTATGATACAAACTGACACTCACTCTTCCGAGTAGGTAGGAGTGAAGGCGTGGGGCTTGGTGACCTCTAGCTCCGGCATGAGTTGCCACTCCTTGATCCGTGAGGGACTGGAGTTGATGCGGGACTCATAGTAGCCAATCCAGGTCAGATTCAGACCACCGGGGAAATAGTTGTAGGTCTGGGCTGTGGAGATGGCTGAGTGGATGGCTTGCATTGCCGACCTGAAAAGAGTTGGATTTTGTTGGTGCTTGCTACTTATTTTAGCGTGGTTCTATTTCAATTTTTACCTCAAGAATATTATTATTGTGAATGGTTTATTTTAATTGTACTCCTCACCTCCAGTGGCAGAATTTTTTATACAATTTGCATTAACCCTAACCCCCTAAGAGTTCATTGGAAGTAAAGTACCATATACTACAAAGTACTACAAAAATTACGTTTGCAGGTACCATACGGCTTGGCTTGCTGGACACCACATGACACTAGGTGGCGCTGTTCATGATACAGATGTACATCTTATGTATACTTACGCCCCTTAATCTTACATCAAAACGGCACATTTAGAGCTTTTGTACTAATTTTCCCTTTTTCAGCAATATTACATTACAGTTTGCTTCACAATTTACCTCAAATCCGCCTTTTTGGGGTTTCTCAAACAAAAAGTGGGGGGGGGGGGGAAATGATCCAATAGCCCGTCCCCCCCCCCCTCCCGGGTCAAAAAGTGTTTGAGAAAACTGTTTGTTCTCAGCAATGGTTAGGTCCTAAGCATTGCTAGTACTGATACAAAATTCACCTTTTCTTGAGAATGACAGTATACCAGGCTCAAAAATTTCACAGGTTGTTCATGCTATTATTTACTTACAATCACGGGGGATTTGTCTTACTATTTTGGCAGTTTTGCTTTTGAGTGTTTGCAAATGATCCTATGGGCTCCGTGCACAAGTACCCCTTCAACGGCCACAAAAGGAGAGGTTGGGAAGACCTAGACTGGTTCCCGGTCCATTCACTGCGTATTTCCAATAATCCAAAGTTATTGGGGGCAGGGATTAGTCTGGGAGACCTTCGCAAGTTAAAATCGAACGTATTCACTCGCCGATGCCGCCTGACGCTCACGCGAAGATGTGGTGGCTATAGCTTTAGCACATTCAGGATGTCGTGCGTACTTCGTGCGCCAACCAGTACAGTACAGTACGCTCACGCTGTGTGTCCCGTCCACGGAGCTCTCAAAAGTGGTAAAAACGCGCCCTCACTTGTTGGCGCAGGTAGCCCATATGCCTTCAATGACACTTTGGTTGGACTATGCCTAGCAGCTCTTGAGAGACTTATAAATGCTAAAACACCAAAAGCATCTACCAGCATTTCTGCTGTGCAGTTTACATTCTAAATATAAACATCGTGAATGTAATGATTGGTGATGTGTTGTGTTTCATTTTTGTGTGACACGGACACTTACCACAGAGCCTGAACGGAGACTGGTTTGAATGTGTTGGTGCGATTCTTGGAACAAAGGTTGAAGCCACTGTAATGAGACAAACACAGATTCATTCACAACTTTGATCCCAAACTGTACAATTATATACCATAAACCATAATGGCCAGGGAAAGTGACTGTCACTTCATAACACATTACTTTTTTGTATCTCCATGTTCTCTCTAGCTCCCAATTGTTATTCACTTAAATTGTAAGTCGCCAAACCCGCAAACGTGAGTGGAACACGGAATAGTGTAGTACGAGTTCAGCCTCATGGTATGTGGGACCACGGACCACACAATGGCTCCACATTTTCCGTGTCTCACGAGCGCGATAACGAATTTATCTTCAAGCAAACTAAACGCACGGTAAAGTGCACGTACCCGTATGTGTTGGAACTAACACACTTTACACGAACTTTTTAGCGATTAAGCGCATGCAGCTGGAATCTTGCTCGCATCTTGGAATAGCGCAATACACGGAGTGCAATATGGACCGTGCGATACGGTATAATATCTCACTGTTGATGCAATGGACCGACCAATCAGGATCGAGGATACAAGTTTGCTTAAAGATAATATACATGTAAATTTATCTACAAACATGTAGGTGACACTTGAAATTGTAGCAACTGAAATGTAATTCTGCTAATTTGAACCCTCCCTCTTTGTGACAACATGAGGAGAGTTACCCTATCCGTCAAAATCTATCAGGTGACAGGTTTTAACAGGTCTGTAAACTGGCGTCATATTGGTACAATTGACAGGCTGTGGTGGTTTTGTTAACTGAGGGTACCATGCCTTGACGGACATTGATAGATACGGTGGGTAATCTCTGGTGAGTGCCTGTCAATGATGGAATTAATATAGAAACTCAGTACAAATGCAAATAAAAAGGTTCATGCATGCATAGCCCAGCAAAACAAAAACGTTGCCCTCTAAGATGGCTGCTACGCAAGTTGTAGCAGTATTCAAGGCCACCCTATCTATCAAACCCTTCAGCAGGTTTTGACAGTTATGTGGTTTAATCCATGAGAATCGGACAGTTGGTGACCAGCCTGTACAAAGCTATGGGAGAGGAAGTGGATAGATTGTGTTGACGGTTAGTGGCAGGTTTATCAGTAGGAGGGTTAAAAAGGGTTAGAAACAGTCTCGACTCCATGGGCGCGTGCGCGTTCCTTACGCTAACCCCTGGCCGTAATGATGACGTAAATGACGCTGATTGGCTATTCACAGCGTACTGCGCGCGCATTTCGAAGATTGCATGCCGGGCACGCCCATAATGCGCTCATGTGCTTTGCACGTAACGTCACGTACGAAAAAAAAATTGTTATTCAAAAGTCGCGATGCCTGTACGATATGGATTATGGCAGCCTCGTTTTTCGCTAAAAAAACCTGTACCAGTATCTGCGGTTGTAAAGGCAAACTGGGGTACGTACATTTCATACAAATCTTTGCTAAATAACGCCACGTCCAAACGTTATGTTTGAAAGTATTGATTCTTCAAAATCACAACTTTTAACATTTTAAAGTTGGCGTCGGCACATAAAACGGATAAACTGCAGCCTAATTATAATGTGTCATATTTAAATTACACAATTCCAGGGGTCAAGATCGCGCAAGGCATGATGGGAAACAACATGGCGCAGCAAGATCGTACCCATGGGGAACGAGGTTGGGTTAGAAAAGACCAGCAAAATGTATATTTACGTGTATTTCTCAGCAGAGAGGTTGAAGCCACTGCAATGAGATCAACACAGATTCATTCACAACCTTGATCCCACACTGTACAATAAGCCCTCTGTACTGATGACGTCACACTTTGTTTACACGTGTGCTTTTCTATGGGAGCCTGGTGGGGCGACGGTTTCGTAGCCCCACAGAAAAGTGTGCCATTAAAAGTGTACTGTCTTCAGTACAGAGGCTTATTATGTATCATCATACTGTACATGTATAATCCATAATGGCCAGGGAAAATGACTGTTTTTATTCTTTAATCACACTTTTTTTCATTTTCTCCAGTTCTCTAATATCGTAATTCAATAAATTGTAAGTCACCAACATACACGGTACAGTGTATTTACATGTATCTACATCAATTGATGACACTTGAAATTCTGTTAATTCGATGTTTTAGGGGAAAAAGATACAAAAATGCACATTGTATACTGAATTTTTCAGCACAAATTGCTGCCATTTGTCTGAGGCTATCCACTGTTGCATTTTTCAGCAAACGTACCGTGACACCGTGTATCAAAATCCTTCTCAATCCCCTTGAACAAGTACAACATACTTTTCATTTTCAATTCCCCTTGTGGTCATGTAAAAAAAAAAGTATTAAAAATCCATTCCCTTGAAAACTGAGAACCTAACATAACAGACTTTCGACCGAGTCGAATGTGAAAGTGTAGAGAAAAGTGAGTGCAATGCACTCAGGTACATAACAGCTTAACAACAATCCTCTCATGATATCCGGCCTGTGTGGATAGACGAGTCTCATGTCAACGATTCTGTTTTCAACTGACTTTGTTTTGGGAGTCTCTGTGTGTCAAGCAGGAAGGAAGTGCAGGCGAGAGAGGATGCTGGGAACGCGATAAAGAAAGTTGGTGTTTTCATAACTCGGTGAAGAGTCATTTCAGTCGGTCGTTGCATGTGACCACGTACCGGTATTTCTTTAACCCTAACCCCCTTGATGAGTGATTTACTGGGATCCTTCCTCATCCTCACTCTTGCAAAATCCAACACCATACGGTAAACTCAACACCCAAACTGTTGGACTCTAATTATGGTGGTATATGCCTGACCCCATGTAAAGCATAATCAGTTTACTAGTGCAGTACTCACTCCAACAGATTTCCAACAAAACGTGCAGTTTGATTTTGAAGGGTTGGGGTGTTCAGGGTTAATTAAAGAGATCTTTAAAGGTTTGCACAGATTAAAATGGGGAAAAAAATGTACGTATGTCTACAAACGGTTCTTAAATAATGCTCCCTCTCTGGCTGGCAAATTCAACAAAGCCAACCGGGCAGGCAAAATATATCAAGTGACCATTTTAAACAGCATTTTTTATGTACTCATCAACTCTCTAAAATCAATGTTTATACAGAACCATCTGTCAATTTTCTCCTTTGTCTATCCCTCTAAACCTTTTAAACTGTTCATAATGGAATAAACCCCTAGATATAGCTGACTTTATGAAATGTAAAAATGCGGAAAATTGTCATGGAATTACTGCGAGGCATTTTCACCATTATGCTGGTACTTCTGCATGTAGCCCATGCGTAACATGGCAGCACCTGTACCAGCTAATAATCAACTGACAACGCATCACGTACCCGTCCCCATCCAGTTGTGTAGTGGTCTCGCACCAGATTGGCAAGACCAGGCCAATGGTGGCGCTGTTGGACATGATATCAACCCCTAGGATGACGCTCTCCTCCGTGTCCTGCACACCGTTGCAGGATACCAGGATGATGTAACGGACACGCTCATCGTACACGCTTTCCAATCGGACCGCCTTTGGAGAAAAGAAAAGAAATTGAAAGAGAAATGATATCTTACAAATGAGTAAAATACCGGTATTTTGCAACAAGAAAATGAGCCTTGCTGATCTACATGTACTATAATTGTATATGCTCGACGAAAGAAGCCCCTCGACGAAAAGGTCGTCCAAACATGACCCTGAAAACATCCATGGAGCTAGAAACTGGTCTGAGTGGTCCATCTCTTTCCAACACTATGCTCGACAGGGACAGTTGGGCCCAACTCATCAAGTCATCATGACAATGAATGAATGAAGAAGAAGAAGAATTGTATGTTTCATACCGGTACTTCAGTATGTCCCCAAAAAAGTGCCCGTCTGACTGTTTTAATTGAATTGAATAAGGCATGGAACTTGGTCACAGGGTCCAAAAATGTTGTTGTGATCAATTGACATTAGACAATTGTGTAGTGATGTGTAACTGAAATTAAATGAAACTCATAGGGGTTGAGGCCAAGGCTTAGGAGTATCTGCACAATTAAACTTTTACGAAATTGACCTCAAAATGTTGTAGTTATTTCAAAACAAGTCAGACGGACACTTTTTGGGGTCATACTTATAATGTGATGTTGTAACTACCAGCAGATAAAATGGGTGAAAATTTACAAAGTTCTATTTCTAGCCATTTTTCCTTTCTTTAACCCTAAATGTACATTTCACTCTGAGGGACATTGCTTTGGGCTTCAAACTGTTAAACAATAACTGAGTCATTGACACCAATGTCAAGCAACAGTTAGTGGACTGTACTGCCTGATCAATCCATTAAAATCATCCAAAACAAATTTTTGAATTGTGGCATAGTTAGGGTAGTTAAGTTTAAAGTCTACACAGTATTAGCTTAAGTTTTCTTGCATTCTGAAACGAAGAATTTTCATAGAACTGGAAAAAGTCACTAAAATGTAGAAGTCTGTATATATATTTCAATGTGCATCTAATGTAAAACGTGCATCTAATGTAAAACATGCATTTTTCTCAAACTTAAATTAACAATGATTCATACCTTTTTAAATTAAAAGCTTCAAGTGGCAAAATATGTACAGTCATATTCTGTTGTTTACACAGAGTTGATTTTTCTGAGAAATGAGTCAATCTTTACAACAAAATATGAATAGCGTGCTTCAGTAATAAGGCTATGACAGGGTCTTGGCAAGAGTTTCCAAATGGCAGGAAATTTGTCTAATGAGGCCTCATAGTAATGGGTGGGGGGGGGGGTTTCAATATCAGGAAGGGAAGAAAGTACACCTGATCCTTGTGCCAATAGATCACGTTGCAAGCATCCCATGACGTGAATGACGTTATAGGATTAAGAGGGGATCATGCATGTATAGCTCATCCATGAGGTGACCAAGTATTTGTCCCATGACAACATGATCCACCATTCACCATTAAAGAGGTTGTGGAATGCTCGAAGACATTTCCGTCATTTTTCGGGTATATGTAGCCTAAGGTGTGATGAAGTAAAAACGACTATTGTGTCTGGCATGAAATGAGTACAAAACGTACTTTTGAGGGCTGTTTTTCAGGTCCTGATTCGACCTGAACGTGCAATTTGTGTAAAAGTCGTCGTTGGGGGCAGCAAACAAAACATAGTAAATCGTGACGTACTAAACAGGACTCGTTTATACTACGCTGCATCGGGAGTCCTGTTTAGTACGTCACGATTTACTATAAAAGGTTATACATGTGTGTACATGTACCGGTACATGTTACAAATTAATATATCATGCCAGATTATAGACTACATGTACATGTATGATGTGTGTACCGGTACATGTACATATACATTGTAATCACAGACAGAGAGTGAAATAAATGTCTATTTCATTTTCAATGACTTACCAGGGTCATCCGATCTTCATGCCTAAGAAGCAGAAACATGCTCTGAATGTGGTCTGATAACTCCCCAACAACTAAGGAAATAAACAAATTCAAATTCAATGTTGTCAGAGTATGAATCACAATAAAGCTATGAAACAAAGTCGAACGTGAATAAGCCTTTTCGGAGTTCCAACTGCGCATTCGTAACCCGTGACAACGCGCATTGTTTGTCTCAAATGGCCTTTGACATCATCGCGCCACTGACTTTACAAAAAGGCTGTTTGTGCATTGTGGGTACTGTCAAAGGGCATTTGAGACAAACAATGTGCGCTGTCACAGGTTACGAATGCGCGCAGTTGGAACTCCGAAAAGGCTTATTGTAAAGTAGGGGAGTCCCATACACCAGTCATGCCTGGGTGACCAAAAAAACCCATTATTGAACCCTCCTTTTGTTTGATCAGTCACAGACAGTCAAAAAGTCAATCCTGTTGCCCTGCCATGCCTTTTACACAGGCTAGTCGCCAACAGTCAGATCATATTTCTTGTAGGCACCGTGACTAGTCAAATTCCATCAACAGACAAAAGCAGGTGACTGGTAGGCACAGCTGGCTTATCAATCTCCTACAGTCAAAGCATAGCTGTATCAGGCATCATAACAATCACAGCCAGTCAATCCTGCTTCAAAAGGTCAGAGAGCACGCAACTGTTAGAAACAGTCACTTGATTTGTTTTGACTGCTAAGCTGGCTTTGTTGAAATTGCCAGCCAGAGAGGAAGGATTAATGTGTACACTGTTTATTCTCCATTTGTGTAGCTTTCTTTTATAATACATGTACATTGATAAACTTTTTTTCATCATCGTCAGGCTTAAATGTCATTTCCTTTTTATTTCCAGTAATATAGTCAATTTGAATATGTTATTATAAGATGGAATTTTTGCGTCGGGGTGATATAAATCAAATTAGGGTTTGCCCTTTACCGACGTTTAAACACTGTATACTCATACTATATGACATTTTTTCTTGAACTGAATTTACAGGCCCCAGGACACCAACAAAAAAATGTTATAAAAAAAAATATTTTTCTGCATTTTAGCACCATCCATAACTCAGACTGACCCTTTTGACACCTGATTGCAGCCTCATAAAAGAAACCACTTAGAAGCCCAGCATTCAGCACTTGAGAGTGTCTTTGTGCTGTGACTGTTGTATGATAATGCAGAGAGGGGTGTGTTTGTTCAGTCCTTTTGAACTGACCTGCTAGCTGTTCCAATTGTTAAGTTGGAAAGATTACAGGTCTGGTTGTGTTACAGGGATGTTATTTATGACATGCAAATCTTAGGAATACTACAAAAATCTAGTCTTCAAGCCTCAAGGGAGAAAATGCACCAGCTCATTTGGCTACACCCTACCAGTACATGTCGCCAGGTTGCGTCTTGTTTAAAACCAGTTTGAGATGGAACTGGGCACAGGCTGGAGTTGACAAAAAATGTTTTTAAAAATATGTATAGTTTTAAATTGTTGGCTTTTTTTTATTTTCAGAATTCTTGATTCATGCTATATTTGTCTATCTTCTACACAGACAAGGGAAAACAATTGGCATCTTTCATTTTAAAGACTACAAAACTTGAACTTTAAAGGCCTTTTCTGAGTATTTAAATTTGTTGGCATATCGATAAATGCAAACTTTAAACAGCCATACATGTAACTTGTCAACGGAATGTCCGATTGAAGTGCAACAAAGATACTCTCAAGAGAATTTTATTCTCTTTCCCAATACCAGCAAATCCTCATGTAGTCCTCTGCCCAGGTTCTGTATCTCTTTGCCAGAATTAATGTCTCACATATTAGCAAATTTGATTCTGAACATATCGCATCCTTACAAGTCGAAAACAACAGAACAGTTCACATTGGTTTGGGGACATCGCAAAAAAAAAAAAAATGCAATTGAAGATGAGGTCTGTACATTATTCCCACTCTGCAATGAAGATCAATACATCGCAGAGGATGAAATTACATACGTGTACATGAGACGCTTTCTACTGGTTTACCATTTAAGAGCAATTGTAAAGTGAAATCAGTGAACTTATGTACAGATTAAAGACAGCTCAAAAAATTATTGTGCTAAACAAGGGTTGTGCATTGGAACCAGGAACCTGAGTACCCGACCGCTGATGTCGGGAACCGGTTCCAGATTATGGGATCAGGTACCAGTAACCAACTTTACAAATTTAGTTTCTCAGACAATGAAAAAGAAAGGCTTTAAATGTCATTTGTGGGTAATTTTCAAAATGAAAACCCGGCTCATGTGCATGGGAACACAAAACATACACGTATTTCACATTTGTGACGCTTGCGAAAGTTGCAGTTTACACTGTAAAGCTATATCAGCAGTCGGGTACTAAGCCGACATCAGCGGTCGGGTACTATAATAAAGTTCACTGTACACACTTGTATCTTGCTACATTGACACACCAATATAGAAGTGTTATCATGTGGACCTTTATGAATAATCAGAACAGCAATTTCTGAGATTTGAATCTTGGCGTTGGGTTTCTTTAATGGGTACCAAGGTACCCGTGTTGTTGTTTTTTCCAATTGGGTACCCCGTTCCCGTACCACCCGTAAATGCACACCCCTATGCTACATGTATGTAGTTCATATTGTTCAAGCAGTTTTAGTGTCGCCCTCTGCATAGTACATGCTACTACAACAGTTCGCCACTCTATATTTTGAGTCTATTTTGTGGCCAATTTCAACTTTATGAAACACAAATTGCATCATCCTATCCCATGATGACGCCATGCCTTACACTTCCCTTTCCCCCATCAGCCGTTAATCACCTAATCAAATCTGGCCCCGACTCAAACAGATTAAGTCTCGGGGAGAATATGACGCAGTCACAACAACCAACTCACACAACCCCTCACATGTTTCTTAAGCAAGGCTGATCCAATTTAAGATTATATCCCCACTCCCGATAACGGCCTCTAGGAATTCCTGAGCCTTCGTCATCACTGCTTTACACCAGCTGTGTGGGAGCGCGGTTCTTGTGACTGACTTTCACTCCTACGCTTTGCACACAAATGTATGAATATCGTCACCCGCATGCGTGCCCTACATGGCAGATAGTTCAATACCTCTACGTCAATACATACGGGCGCTGTCGGGATATTTCTCCTGTCCTGGATAACCCAATAGGCATTAATAAAATTAACGAGGCTGATTTCATGAATCGCAGCAGGAGATGCTAAAATTAGACGGTTGTGTCTGTACATATGTATGTAGTCTTAAAAACATGCACACAAAAATATGCAAAGTAATTTGACACATTTTGATCTTGAAAGGAATGTGCTCTTTGTAGTTTGTACCATGCTTAATGAAGAAATAAATAACACAGTTAAGCCGTGTGAACTTTCTTGAATTAATAGGTTTATGTTATTTTAATTACTTACGTGTACAATGAAATTAATTCCCACAAACTTTGTGAGTTAAGTGTGGATTACAAACATGCGTGGATCAAAGAGAAAATTGATTTGCTACAAGGTTGGATCGGTTTCCTGTTTAATTGCCAAGATGAAAGCAACGTCTAAATATTTATCCAAAATATTGACACAGTGAACCCACTAGGCATGATATGGGTGTGCATTTCCTTTGAACGGTACAAGCTGGCACATCATGAAACAATAACAGGGTTATCGTTATTGTGGGGCACTGATTGTTAAGTTGAAAAAGTGGAAACAACGAAATCTTCTCCGACCAGACATTTGATAATGAAACAAAATAAAACTTTAAAAAGGGACCACATTTTTAGAATCATCAAATGTTTGTAACGTACATGTAACGTACATGTAACAAGACTAGGCTTGTAACAAGATTAGGCATGTAACAAGGCTAAGCATGTAACAAGACTAGGCATGTAACAAGACTAGACATGTAACAAGACTAGGCAAGCCAAGTAATAACTGGTCCGGGACCAGTCTAAGTCAGAGCACACAAAATTCTATTCAATGGATTCAGAGTGGCTATTCATTGGACAATCTTTTCATGCATGTGGTCTACACAATGGGCCAGATTTAACCCATTCATTGGCAATACGATGTCGCAGTAATCCTATACAACAGCACTGCCTGACTCTCTTCTAAATTCACAAGTGACAATCAGTCAAGTCAGTCAGTCAGTCAGTCAGGTAAGTACAGAAAGGATGTTATGCTGGCCCAATGCATGGAACCAGTAAAAATTGTGCAAGGTTCAACCTTAGCGGTAGTCCGCTCGCCAAATGCGAGTAAAATCATAGCGGACTAGTCAAAACCACTCCCTAAGTACGGTAATCCACCTGGCGAGTCAAAATTGTTGTAAATAACATTGCTTTTGACATTCTGGAGCAAAAGTTTAAAATGTTATTGCGGACTAGTAAAAAAGCCCGCGGACTAGATAAGAGTCTGTTTCACTAGTCCAGCTGGCTAGTGAAAAAATGTTAAGGGCGAACCCGTTGTACCGGTATGACTCTCATATCATAAATAGGAACCACAAATTCATACAGCTATGTAGAGAGTTGCTTAAGTCAATATGAACATATGCATTTAAGTTTATGTAATAGACGAGTACCACTTGAACATGTGTTTTTTTTTGTTTTTAGTTTCGGTTCTACCGGTATTTTCCTTTCTTTAAAAAAAGTGCATAATTTTGCCGACTTACTGGGGTTTTTCTTGATGGGTCTGGACTCATTGCTCCTGGGAAGGACCAATGCAGCTCCCTTCACCGCAAAGAAACTTTCACTGTGTCACACAAAAGAAGAAGAAACAATTACCAAATTATATCTTGTGATGTAAAATCAATCAATGCCAATATGTAAAACATGTCAAAATCGACCTTCAAATAGCATATTAACCCTCCTACAATTTAAACAGTCACAGACAGTCAAAAACTCCACCCACTTGCCCTGCCATGTCTTTTACACAGGCCAGTCACAAACAGTCAGATCATATTTCAAGCAAGCACTCTGACTAGTCAAATTCAGTAAACAGACAAAAGCAGGAAACTGATGGCACAGCTACCGGTACAGTCACAGCACAGCTGTAACAAATTACATTTAAAAACCAGTCACAGCCAGTCAATCCTGCTTTACACTGTACATGTACGTGTACATGGTAGACTGGGAGCTCTTAACTGTTGAAAACAGTCACTTGATTGATTATGACTAAAAGGACAACTTGGCACAGAATGTATGTTTGCATAGGAGGGATACTATTAATGGCACTTTAAGGCCAAAAAAAAAATATTCGGTCTCTGGTCAGACCAAAGTTTCGGAATTGACGCGGCCACGCGGATTTTTTTTTTTTTGGATTGTACAGACAAGGTGGGTACTATTTTGCTTTTTTGGTGTCCTCATGTACATTGGTGTCCTCCATAATTTGCCTTGGTGCTTTTGATCATTTGCCTTGGTGCAATTTCCCATTCCTTGGTGCTCTTTGGTAAAAAAAATTGAGGAGGTGCGGAAATAGAGGGCGCTGTTGGAGCTACTGCGGAACATTTTGGGAAAAAAAAGATCGAAACGCATGATTAAAATCGACGCGCGCGCTGACCAGAGACCGACTTATTTTTTGGGGGGGCCTAACCCTTCATTTTTTTCTTTTTTTTTGATCAGTCACAGACAGTCAAATATTCAATCCTGTTCACCTTACATGCCTTTTACAAAAGCTAGTCACCAACAGTCAGATCATATTTCAATAGGCACTGTGACTAGTCAAATTCCATCAACAGACAAAAGCGGGTGACTGGTGGGCACAGCTGGCTTATCAATCTCACACAGTCAAAGCATAGCTACTGGTTTATCAGGTTTCATAACAATCACAGAAGGTCTATCCTGCTTCATGAAGGCAGGGAACACTCAACTGTAAAAAAAACATCACTTGGTTTATTTTGACTGCTGGGCTGGCCTTGTTGAAATTGCCAGCCAGAGAGGGAGGGTTAATAAATAACTCATTTAAATATGTACTTTAATTAACAATAAATCAATATATTCCAATACAAATGAAAGATTCTTTATTAAAATATATAATCAGGCAGTGTTTATTTTAGTCACTCCATATAAGTCGTGTCTCTTCACGTACACATGTGTACATTACCACTAAGTACATGTAATACAGTGTTATCGAATGTCAAAATTCCAGAAAAGTAATCTGGGGAAACCCAAAATATAATCAGTTGAGAACTTTCATCCCGTCCACATTGAAGGATTTTTTTTCTACAGTATGTTAAATGAACATGTACCTTGACCCAGCATTATGACAAAGTTGTATTTTTGAATGTTGAGTCCATGAAGTATTTTCAGTTTTGCTCACCCATATAATCTCAAAGTTCGATCATTTGAGGAGAAACAAATGAACTGGTACCATCAAAGCTAGGAGCCACCCCCCGCTTTTATCCTGTTTACAATGGTACTTGAAATTTGATCAGGATATAAAGCCGGGCTCTCTCAAGTAACACAAAACAAGAAAATGTTATCATGACAGATAATGTGACCATAAAACAGGCAGGAACTTGGCCGTACAGTATCGGCAACGGAATATAAATTGTCACGCCAGGAAGCAACCTACACCATCAACGCTTGATGGGAAAGCATATAAACCGATGGGTCATACAGCGGTCAGATGATGCATTACAGAAATGGCAGAACAACTATGACAGTGGTGAACAGCATGTATAGGAGAGGTCTCGTATTTGCGAGAGCGCAGTGTTTACATTACATGTACAGTGTACATACTGCTAGCTTTAGCCACGCAACTTCTAGTATAGATCATCTCCAATATTTCATATCATCGCATTCTTTCGACTTGAAATCTCTCGCAAGCTTCACACTAAACAAATGTACATGTACATGTACATGGTCGACATACATGTACATACATACATACTAGTACATGTACCAGTACACTGTACATGTATCAATATGTACAAGCTAACCTTCAATAGGGAAATTATAATCTAACATTTTCAATCAGTTGAATTTCCTGCCTCAACTATCAATTCATCGATATACGTATCCACATACATGTTTACATGTACGTTACATACAGCCTACGGTAGTGTGGACATTCCTTTGTTTTCGTGTTGTCGAGAAAAACCTACGAAAAAAATCATTTTACTCACACTGTGAAAACTCTTTCAACCCATTTTTTTTACTATGATTCCCTTGAGTGTTTCTTTTCATTTTGCGACACATAAACCTAACCCAAAAATGCCTGTAAATTTGTTTTCCAGAGAGGGGGAAACCTTGTGTGGACGTGGGCAAGTCCACACAACGTATCTGGAAACTATCTTTTGTTCGGAAGTCCACACAGTGAATGTAATGCCCACATCAATATTGTGTGAAAACAGCCTATATGCTGTACATCATACCCATGCAGTTATGTAAACTTACCACACTGGTATCTTCAACACCATTCTGCTATAAAACCAACAGGCGTCTCCAAATAAAATCCAATATTAACACCATGCTTGAAGTTATATCAAGAACAAAACCACCCAGACATGAACTCATCAATAGTAAATTAAAGCCACCTAAACTTGCACGTTTGTGACATGTTGCTCAACAACTTCACTGTGAATGCTCCACCCAAACTCTTCAGAAAGTTCTGCAGTGGCATTCAAAAAGTACACCCGATGACATCACGAAAACTAACGTAAATCACTGCCGACTCATTAACACAGGATGCTCCTAATTGAACGGCAAAGTAAGGGGGGCTGTTTTGTAACCCCGTCCTAGTAACACTCAGTGAAAACATCCTATCTCACATGATGCATGTCCAATTATGGGTGGAATAAGGGAAGTGGGCCCTAAATACGAACAAGGGGGAACAACTCGTGGCATTATCAGGGGAGAGATCTCGTGGCATTTGGGGTGAACAAAAGGTACCGATGCTGGGTGGGGGACCGGTGGCACGCTTTGCAGGATTCAGGCTTTTGTTTGTTGGGGTGTGTGGAATGTGTTTTGCTCAATTTCTTCGGTGACTGGTTCTAGGTTCGGCTTGGAATTACAGGGTTTAGGATCACTAGAGTAGGATCCAATTAGTTTTTGTATAGGCCTAGTACATGTACATTGTGTAACTCTTGCCACTACTGTCATACTATCAGAACAGAATCATGAACAACGGGGTCACATCACGCTTGCTAGCCTTAAAGGGAATCACATCATTTGCTTTTGCTGTAATTTTCAGAAATGGATGGATTTCGGGGGTTGGTAATATATCAAACATTTATATTACACTGACTTTTGTGACGTTTTGGGTTCGCAGATGCTATAAAAACCAAGAAAATAATCGTTTTCCTGTAGTCTGGTTCCCTGACTTCATTTAAGATGAAACAGAGCAATTTATAGAAGTTGGGAATTGTAAGGTCAGGGAAACAGTCTAGCTGGCTTGTAATACCCGTTCATAGATGTGTAATCGATTGTAAACAAATGTGGACTAACTAAATATGGTCAATTGGGGCCAGCATTTGAAAAAAAAGCCAGTTTTTCCAACGCTGGTCGGCCCTGGTCGGCCGACCAGCGTTGGAAATTGATACGAAAAACACCACTTTTCTTGAAAATGACAGTATACCAGACGCCATGATTTTACAGGATGCTTTAGACTGTCATTCACTAACAGTCCAGTAAGGTATTTCAAAATAATTTGGTAGTTAAAAAGTAAGCGGACAGTGAAACGTGGGAATGGAAGCCTTTCACAATTCGTCCCACTCGCATGAGAGGCATTTTTTGCAGTGCATCACAGGAATATTAACATCCATCTGTGGACACTGCCAAACGATATCCATTATGCACAAGCCGATCTACATGTAGACTCAGCAATTTTTACCAATGTTGAACACACCCACGTTACGAAGATGTTATCCATTTTGTTACGTCATCATGACGTCATCAGGTATCAAATTACAACCGATTTAAGGGCAAATTTTGACAAAATAGTTTGCGTTATATCTTTTGAACTAAATAGAGTATCGTGTTCGTTTTTTCGTGAGGTTGTAGACTATGTCGTGAGAAACATTTCGTGTTCCCGGACGCAAAACCGCTTGACCTTTACTTCCGGTGTTACCGGAAGTGCAATAAAAACTTAATATAACTCAAAAGCGGAAGCATTTTACTACAGACATATATATTATGAAAGTGTTTAGTGAGGAATGCAAGACCCAAAAAACAGTGTGATGACGTCATTATCCGAAAGGGCGCCCCCTATCGGCACATCAAATAGAGTTTCTCTTCTTTAATTGTAAAACCATCCTTCCAAATTTTACCAAATTGCCCCTTGACATTCTCTGATTAACCACAGATAACTTGGCAAGGTTTCAAATTCATGACGTCATCAGACCGGAAGTTACTTTAAGGAGAATTTGAAAAAGATCATAGTTTTTATTTAATTCTATCATTTGATCCCTGTCATACCTTGGAAGTCCAAAGAATGATATCCATTACAATGTTCACCTTTGGATCTCTAATGCTGTGACGTCATCAAACCGGAAGTTAGGTGTTATCAATACGTCATCAAACCGGAAGTTAGGTGTTATTATTACAAACAATTATATTTCCCATATTTTCATACATTATTTTAACTTTACAATGAAAAATTATCCTCTCCGAACTTTATCAGTATTCACTAACCATTTTTGACTGATGACGTCATCAAACCAGAAATAACTTTTTGTGCACATAGAATGTTTACTGAAATTTATCACACTGTTAAAGATACCTTTTTTGAAACATTGATTGTACTTGAATGGATTTAATTTCGTGATCCTTTTTTTCTACATAAACATATATTCCTAACTTAACAGGGCAGTGTATAATGAAACGGCTGTCCGCCCGACCACTCTGCGTTTGTAACTCAACAAACGCGAAACTCTAGTTTGAATTGGTTTTATCAGCAGAAATTTACTCACCATTGTTTCTTGACTCTTTCTTCATTGTCACATTCATCCTGAAATGAGAAAAAAAACAAGTCAGGTGTGTTTACAAACACAAATGCCCCGCAACCGTGACTGTTTCCATGACATAACACCACTCTTTTAACATCAACTTACATTGTACATGTACCTTGGTCACATGAAACGTTCATTGACAGCATTAGTGTCTTCTGTAGGTTTTATATGAATTAATCCCTAATCCCTATGATCTCAGAATAAATACAAGATTTCTATTGTTTTAGCCACTGTGACCTTGACCCTTAACCTTTCGACCCCCAATGCGATAGGCCGATTTGGATTACCATGAACGATCCACAAACCAAATTTGAAGTTCATATGTAAAGTATATCTCAAGTTATCACGCTGACAAAATTTCTTTTGTTTTTGCTACTGTGACCTTGACCCTTGACCTTTTGGCCCCAAATGCAAAAGGCTTCTTAGGATTGCCAAGAACAATCCACAAACCAAATTTGAAGTTCATATGTTAAGTATTTCTCAAGTTATCGCGCTGACAAGATTTCTATTGTTTTAGCCACTGTGAACTTGACCCTTGACCTTTTGGCCCCAAATGCAATAGGCTTCTTAGGATTACCAAGAACAATCCACAAACCAAATTTGAAGTTCATATGTTAAGTATTTCTCAAGTTATCGCGCTGACACAATTTATCCGGACACACACACCCACACACACACCCACCCACACACACACACACCTACTTGTTTCACATGACTAGTGTGGACTTTCCATTGCTTTCGTGTAGTTAAGAAAAACCAGTGAAAAAACTCATTTTTCTCAAACTGTGAAAACTCTTTCAACCCAATTTTTTTTCTATGATTCCCTTTAGTGTTTCTCTTCATTCTGCTACAGATAAACCTAACCCAAAAATGCCTCTAAACCTGTTTTCCAGAAATGGGGAAACACTGTGTGGACGTGGGGTAAGTCCACACAACGTCGGTGCTACCTACATTATGTGGACGTCTTTTGTTCGGAAGTCCACACTGCGTATGTAAGACAAGCTCACACACACCCACCCACCCACCCACCCACGGAAGGACAAGGCGGAAACAGTATGCCCCTTCGGCTTCGCCGCGGGGCATAAAAAGAACAAAGTTTGGCATCACTCAACCAGTTGTTCTCACAATTCAGTAAGGAAATAACAGTTTCGGGTGTGTATCACGAAATGCCTGCTCTGAAGTGTTTCGAGCACCTACCGGTATAGTCCAGAATTTGTCATAAGAAAAAAAACAATAAAGCACCTTTCAATTTTTCAGTAAAAAAACACACATACCAGTATATGCACACACTCTTGTTTTACTATACCCTCGAGGACAATGCTTTGCATTTCCGTTTGTCCCTGTAATATAACACTCTCCCATAGACTAAGCACACAAACTTACTACAGAGGACTGTTTCCAACAAAAGACCCAACTCCCGAGGACTGAAAGGATCTGTTAGCATGTACCGGTACACCTGTACATATAATGTACACAGTGATCAACCTTGGTACATTTGACCTGCTAATGAGTTTACAAAACGTTGAAGGTGGAAAAAGTGGCACCACACCACATTCAAGCACATTCACAACAGCCAACATTAGAGAATATTACAACTGGAATGTGTTAACTTCAATATTTTTGGAAACCACCAAGCAATTGTTACTACTGACACCCCCCTCCTTCACCAAGTATGGCCCACCCACAATGACAAGATGAATGGCACAAACCAAATGAACCATCCTCATCAGATGCTCTTCTCAGTGATGGGGAAAGACTCTCGCTGAACACTGACCATCTCCCACAGCACCAAAGCTTCTCAGCCTTGGAGTTTCACCTGTTGATGTCTCAACAACACGGTCCCATCCGGAGAGTAAATGCAGGAAATCCAACTCAAAACACAGCCGTTCAAGAAACAAACACCTGTGGACCATATGTGTGTGAACTCATGTGACTTGGCTGGCGCACGCACCTGTTGCGTCTGTCTGGATTCCAGACCTAGTCTCTAGGTCATACAGAAGTTTGGTAGGAGACGCAGACGGCAAGACACATGGTCATCAGCCATTCAATACCGAACCGGTTCGCAAATGAATGGATTGGATCAGAAGTTGACCACTGTGCTTTTAACGCTTCAAGTGAACTCAGTTATGTAGTTCCAAACAAACAAAAAACCACAGTACAAAAAAACACGGCTCAAAACTGAACAATTGGATTGTTGCCCTCCCAGAGGTATTTTTTGTTGATGGTAGTTTTAACCATTTTGGACAGGTTTTTTGCTGTCTTCTGAGCAGGACAGTCTACCAGTTGAAACATCTCAGGCGTGCTTGAAAGGTCCTGTTCATCCATACGCCAACATGATTTACATAACATGGACGTCATGAATAGTGCAGTTCTATTTGGTTTTAAAAACCCTCCGCTGTGCAAAAAACTTGTATCCAACTGAACTGTATTCACACTGCCATCTGCATGCCACAATCACTCATGGAAGCGATCCACTGAAAATCCAAGAGACGGTTCATTCATTTGCTCTGTGGCTTTTCCACACTATTCTCCAAACCTGTGCTCTCAAGGCAACACTAGTAGACACACTGTCAACCTAACCACCAGGGCTCGACTTATAATGGTTTCAGTCTCCAGAGAGTTTTAATGTTCACTCCACCATTCATGAAAGGTCCATGGATGACGGACCAAATTTCAGTTCACCAACACAATGCTCAAAAGTCTATGCTGAACAATAACAACTGAGTCACATAAACATCACAACTGCAGTTTAGGGGTTTCAGTCTCACAAGTACTGTTCTTCACTCCACTACCAAGCTCAACACCCACCCCCAACCCAACCATCAAGTCAACACAGCTGTCTGAACCATTGGCCAGGCGTGTCCCAGAGCGAAACCACAACAAGTAGCTGACACCGCAAACAGATCAGAGCGCAAGGTTGGCTCATTGTGGCTCTCAAGTCTCATAACCTCTCCAATCCAGGGCAGAGCGAAATGGATACTCCCGGCAGCTGACAATTAAAATGTTCAGGGGCAAAACCGTGCCGAAACTACTATCAACAAATGGAAGCATTTGACTGATCATGGGTCAGGACAGATCTCGATACTCAACACCTGAAAATAATTCCAGAAGGATGTCATTCAAGAATATTTGAAAACAGGAAAACACTAAAAGTACTTTTAAGGTTCAGGAAAAATTGGGTTTCAGGTTAGGCTAGATTTTATTACGGGCCAGATAACTTCCCCCAAGATATTAACAAATATTTAGAATTCCCTGAATTCACAATAAAGTTGGTCAATGTCAAGTATTTACAACTGGAAAACAGCAATTATGGGATGATTTATCAGATTTAAAATCAAGCAAACAAAAAGAAATCATGGAGCAATCCTAGTTATAACCTAAGGTTGGAAAAATTTGAGAGCGTAACCACACCTAATCCCATATTTTGCAAGAAACTCACTAAAACTACAATAGAATCAAGCAATAGAACAGATTTGAAGCCTGCCGCATCCAAAAAAGCCAACCCCCAAAAGTAAATCTAAATGACTTAAATTATCCCACAGCTCAGGTGAAATTGTTTTTCAAAAGCCTGCTGGATTCTATTGGAATCAGCAGGGTAAGGGTAAGACCAATGTGTCATCAAACGATTCAAGCAAAAGAACATCAGTCAAACATCTAAATTGTCCATTTTCCTACAAAAGACATTTTCTCATGCTTTGTTCACAAGTCTTTTAAATATTTACATTCAATGTATTCATGTAGAGCCATGAGCTTGTTTTCTTGAAAACGATACATATGCATCTTTATTGCTAAGTGTTTTGTTTTTCTTTTCAATTATTCAGTACTACAGAAGATTTGCCCACCCTACCCCTTTCAGAACTTGAAATATAGGCCCTATAGTTCTGAAAGGGGTAGGGTGAGCAAATGATTGTTTTTCTTGGTTTTTCCAGCATCTACAAATACAAAACTTCAAACAAGTCAGTGTAACAATATTTGCTATAAAATACTAACCCCCTAAATCCATCCATTTCTGAAAATTACAGCAAAAGCAAATGTTGTATATAGTAAATATCCCGTGTAATGTTGTTTATGTACTAATAAATATAAAGGTTAGTATCAAATTTTGACTTCAGTTACATTTAAATTACAACAGGAAACTGCTCTTCGTGTACAATGTATGTTTGTGGTAGATTCTGATAGCTTGTCAAAATTCAACAGAGTTGTTCCGTACTATACATGTACCAGCTGCATGTACAAGGAAAAATAATTGCATATGATGATCTGAACAACTTTTGACATTTGAACAATAACCACGCCTTGCCTAAATAGAAGGAAACAGTTCCAATGCTTAAAATAGGGCCTGATCATCAGTGAAGGACTCTCCAGCTGATGATGTCATCACATCGTCCAATGAAAAAAATGAGTCACATCACACTGACGAATTATTAGCAACAGTCTTTGAATGTCTGAATGTGCAAACATGTGTGACCATGGCTCCTCTATGCAAAGTCCAAAGGTCGCTCCAATCCAGAACACAATGTCTGGTTTTATATTTTTGTAAAAAATTCACAGGAAATGTTTTCACAATGTTCCAACATGTTTAACAGGAACTGTCAAAGAGGACAGCGTACTGTGTGGCCTTCCGTTGCCATTCCTAAAAGGATACCATTTCGCACATCTTCTTATGTACATGTACATACCGTACGGTACATACATGTTTTACAAATATACAATCAGTTTTCACCGTTGCGTTTTGATTACATGAATGTTATACTGGTTTCAATAGTGGGGCATGTAGGGAAAATATTTGGGGAATTGTGCCTTTGAATACAAGCATGGCATTTGGCACACAGAGTACGTGGCTATAGGGCCATGTACCGTAGCAGGTTTGTCCTTTGAAAAAGATATAGTCATAATAACAAGCAATTTTCAAAGTTTTCAAAATGGCTGCCATTGCTATATTTTTTTCAAAGGACAAATCTGTGATGGCCCTATAGCCAAATACCTTTCTCATGACGTGCTCTGACTGTGT